TCCACTTCGTGATAAAGGGAACAGGCAGGGGATTAGCTGCCCACTGGACCATTAACTTTGTTGTTTTAGACTGTACTGATTTTGGCATATACTAACAGTTACTTTGGGAGGATACTCTTGTATTGGAAGGAGATAACCAAATATACGTTGTTCTTTGTTGTTTAACGCCGTACTCAGCAATATTCCAGCTATATGATGGCGGTCTGTAAATAATCGAGTCTGGACAAGACAATTGACATCATGAGCATCGTTCTACGCAATTGGGATACGATGAGTTGACTGAGTGCGGAGTTAAGAAACAAACAAACATTGATGAAACCACAGAACAATCACTTTACATTTCCCTCGTCGTTTCCCGTGACCTTCAATAAACAATGAAAAGATAAAATCAAAGTTAAATCTCCTAAGTCGTTCGCTGAACGCGTGTGGTAGATCCCTGTACCGCCTTTGTGGTCAAAGCGTCCACCAGCATTTCCTTGTTGACCATGACGACACGTGACCTCGACCGGTTCAGGTGACCTCGACAGGTGCACTGATGAAATGGCTTCCTCGTTTTCTTTCACTGTCAACTAAACTAAACAGTGACCTCAGCTGACCTCTAGAATACCTGCTCCGGGATCAGAGCCCTTCGGGCATGTAGGATACACAAACCCTGTCTACCTGGGAAAGGCGACAGCTTAGAAGAAGAAGAAGAAGAATAATATTTTATTAAAGTGTCACCCGCTGTACATATAAAATGACAAGGCAAGAATGTAAAAATTCAGCGGCCGGCCAAAATGGCCTACGAGACACTAAAAGACTCATAAAAACACTATTTTATATATGTACACACCACATTTAATAGCAATTATGAAAATAACATTCATAATATTATCCCCCATACAAACATCCTATATACACACAACCACATCCATTCCCACATCCAGACCTTCACTCACAGCAGCTTACGCAAACCACGCAGACACACCCGCACATTCAGACACACCCAAACCCTCATTGACATCACTTCAATCACATCCGAACCCTCGCTCGAACCCTCACCGTCACAAATCACTCTCACACACACCCTATTTCTTAAACACACCCTCACCTGTATCCGTTCCCGCATCCACACCAACTCCCTCGACAGCTTAGATATACACCTTGAAAAATATTAAGCCCAGTAATTTATATTTTAATTCAAACTAATCAAAAAGAACATTACGACCATCCGATTCTTTCAAGTTGCCATAGTGAGGGCAGATCAACTACAGTACAATGAAAGTTAATCGGGTGTTTATTCACTTCTTTTAAGTAGTTATACATCCAGTTATACAAATGGTGTTATATCAAGTGTTTCTGCAGGTTGGTTTTCTTTGTATACCCTGTGTGTGCCACCCGTGAAGATCCGGGGTAGAATAGGTCTTCGGCAACCCATGCTTGCCATAAAAGGCGCCTAACGGGATCGGGTGGTCAGACTCGCTGACTTGGTTGATGCATGTCATCGTATCCCAATTGCGTAGATCGATGCTCATGATATCAAACACTGGATTGTCTTGTCCAGACTCGATTATTTACAGACCGCCGTCATACAGCTGGAAAATTGCTGAGTATGGCGTTAAACCACAGACAGACAAGAAATGTATGAGCACGTTCCGAGGTTGGACGATTCCATTTAGCTGAGGGGGGACAAAGTGTTGATTCAGGATTTTGCACTATTGCGTGAAGAGGATTGTGTTCGTAGCTCACGTGATGTAAGCTCCTTGTGTTCGAACACGTGTTCGATTCCCAACATGGGTTCCTCATGTTCGTCTTCATGTCTCCCGTATTGCCAGGATAATATTCAAGCGGTGTAAAACTAACTCACGAAGAGCACACAGACCATATCATGTTGAGAATAGAAGCCGATAGCCGCTATTTATACATCACGTTGAAATTAGATCATGTAGTCTATTGCCCCCACCGAGAACTAGGATGTAGGCCCTGACAGGCTGGGATGACTGTATCTGTCCAGCGTGGGGGGGAGAGTGTTCATCACGGGAGAGAGTGTTCATCACGGGGGAGAGTGTTCATCACGGGAGAGAGTGTTCATCACGGGGGAGAGTGTTCATCACGGGGGAGAGTGTTCATCACGGGAGAGAGTGTTCATCACCACGCCATGGGGGACAACCAAACCAGCCATGCACTGCTAGACGACTAAATACTTCCTTGTGATTAAGAATTACCAGTTACTCTTAAAGGCTCTATCTAAGCCATTGTTTAAAAACATGTGTTGAAAAATTGCTGTATTGTTTTGTTGGGGACAGTGGACATCGGGGGTGAACCTCACACTATTTCTCATGTAGGTATCAGATCGAATGTTTCCTCGACTTGGACGCCATATCTGTCAGCATGTATTTGTACCCCCGGGGATTCTTACCCAGCATGGGGGGCACGGGTGGCCCAGTCGTCTAAGGCGCCGCGATTCGCTGTGCAGAGTTGCGTCCCTTGGGCACGCCAGACACCTATGATTGTGGGTTCGAGTCCCGGTTCGCCCCGATTAGGTTTCTAGGTTTGTCAGCACCATACCCGTGCTCGTGGGTTTCACCGAAGTGGTAAACGTCTGAGACTTGCATCACTTCGAGCTTTCCTCCCACATTAAGCTGACACGCTGTGATGTAACTGGAATAGTGTTAAAAGCGGCGTTATACCCAACTCACTCACTCACGCACTGACAGAACATAATGACAGAACACCAATAACAACATACGGATGCCAGAACAGTAATGCCAAAACACTAATGCCAGAACACTGATGACGGAACACTAATGCCAGAACACTGATGACGGAACACTAATGACAGAACACTAATGACATAACACTAATGACATAACACTAATGAAAGAACACTAATGACAGAACACTGATGACGGAACACTAATGCCAGAACACTAATGACATAACACTGATGACAGAACACTAATGACATAACACTAATGACATAACACTAATGAAAGAACACTAATGACAGAACACTGATGACGGAACACTAATGACAGAACACTAATGACAGAACACTAATGACAGAACACTAATGACAGAACACTAATGACATAACACTAATGACATAACACTAATGACATAACACTGATGACAGAACACTAATACCAAAATACTTATAATAAAATACTAATGACAGGACACTAATGACAGAGTACTAAGAAAAAAAAATACTAATAACAAAATAATAATGACGGGACACTAATGACAGAACACTAATAACAAAATACTAATGACAGAACACTAATGACAGAACAGTATTGACAGAACACTAATGACAAAACACTAATGACAGAACACTAATGACAGAACAGTATTGACAGAACACTAATGACAAAATACTAATGACAGAACACTAATGACAGAACAGTATTGACAGAACACTAATGACAAAATACTAATGACAGAACACTAATGACAGAACACTAATGACAGAACAGTATTGACAGAACACTAATGACAAAATACTAATGACAGAACACTAATGACAGAACAGTATTGACAGAACAGTATTGACAAAACACTAATGACAGAACACTAATGACAGAACAGTATTGACAGAACAGTATTGACAAAACACTAATGACAGAACACTAATGACAGAACAGTATTGACAGAACAGTATTGACAAAACACTAATGACAGAACAGTATTGACAGAACAGTATTGACAGAACACTAATGACAAAACACTAATGACAGAACAGTATTGACAGAACAGTATTGACAGAACACTAATGACAGAACACTAATAACAAAATACTAATGACAGAACACTAATGACAGAACAGTATTGACAGAACACTAATGACAAAACACTAATGACAGAACACTAATGACAGAACAGTATTGACAGAACACTAATGACAAAATACTAATGACAGAACACTAATGACAGAACAGTATTGACAGAACACTAATGACAAAATACTAATGACAGAACACTAATGACAGAACACTAATGACAGAACAGTATTGACAGAACACTAATGACAAAATACTAATGACAGAACACTAATGACAGAACAGTATTGACAGAACAGTATTGACAAAACACTAATGACAGAACACTAATGACAGAACAGTATTGACAGAACAGTATTGACAAAACACTAATGACAGAACACTAATGACAGAACAGTATTGACAGAACAGTATTGACAAAACACTAATGACAGAACAGTATTGACAGAACAGTATTGACAGAACACTAATGACAAAACACTAATGACAGAACAGTATTGACAGAACAGTATTGACAGAACACTAATGACAAAACACTAATGACAGAACAGTATTGACAGAACAGTATTGACAGAACACTAATGACAAAACACTAATGACAGAACAGTATTGACAGAACAGTATTGACAGAACACTAATGACAAAACACTAATGACAGAACAGTATTGACAGAACAGTATTGACAGAACACTAATGACAAAACACTAATGACAGAACAGTATTGACAGAACAGTATTGACAGAACACTAATGACAAAACACTAATGACAGAACACTAATGACAGAACACTAATGACAGAACACTAATGACAAATGAGGATCGGGGAGCTACATTGTGGCCTGGCTGACTGTGTGTGGTGTATCTGGACGTCAGGGTCAGTCCACAATCTGCCACTGGCCTCCCAAACCCAGACTTGATGCAGCAGAACTGACACAACTGCGGAATAAAACAACATTCTCTCACTCAAATCCGTTTTTGTGCACTGACTTTTCAAAATGGAGACGAACATTGAAGGTATATCTTTGATCCCGACATCAAAGAGGTTTGAAAATGTAAAGATATATATCTTTTTAAAGAAAGCTCATTACGTGATTACAGATATAATTCTGTCTCGGAAGTCCGGCTTACTGACGTGTTGGTCGTTTGTCTGCATGGTGTTTGACAACACCTCGCCGTGAGTTGGGCAGGTACCTGCAACACGGGCATCTTATGTACTTTGTGTCACTCACTTCGGATCTTTCTGTGTACTGTGTATCACAACACACGTCTGATCGTGAGTACACACACACACACCGTTAATGTGAATCAGATTACACGTCCTGTGATCGAACGCTTCACTGTTGGAGCATCTACTGTTGCTTTAAAGGTAAGGCGGAATCAAATGGAGCTTTTACATTGTATTTTCTTGCTTACTTACTTAGTTTTCGCTTTCCGACATACATTGTATGCGTATTTCGCACAGGGGCTCGCCAGGCCATTTAGTGATGGCCGAGAAGGGTGTGTCCGAAAGGTAAGGCAACCTGGAGGGACTTTATTGTTGCTAAATTAATTTTGGCGGAAATGTTGAATTTTGAAATATGCCAGGTGAATAAGGTGGGGGAACTGTTTGTGAGGTTCTGTGTTTTTTTAGATTTATGTTTTATTGGTAGTTTGTTTGTTGTGGGTTTTCTTTCTACTTAGCCACATGCATGCATGTGTGTGTTTGTGTGCGTGGGTGCGAGCGTGACTGCTTGTACTAGTTCGGATTAATGCGAGTCACATGTGGAAGCCCACCGAGATACCATGCCACAGTTTGACATGAATACCCCACTCAGACCATGTATACTGACTCCGAGCCGACCAGTCCAACATGAATACCCCACTCAGACCCAGTATACTGACTCCGAGCCGACCAGTCCAACATGAATACCCCACTCAGACCCAGCATACTGTCTTCGAGCCGACCAGTCCAACATGAATACCCCACTCAGACCCAGTATACTGTCTCCGAGCCGACCAGTCCAACATGAATACCCCACTCAGACCCAGCATACTGTCTCCGAGCCGACCAGTCCAACATGAGTACCCCACTCAGACCCAGTATACTGACTCCGAGCCGACCAGTTCCTCTTTTAGCCCCTTAAGGCCGAACGCCAGACATGGAAGGAAACTTATCGGGTGAAAGAATAGAGGTGAAAGGGTCGACCCACCCCCACCCACACTATTCTGCGCCCTGTCAAAAGTATACAACATCAGAACATATATTTTCCAGGTTATATCTAATTCACTTGGGTTCATTCCCTCAATACATGTCACTATCAAGATATATAACACGAGGTACAAACAACACATTTTACGCATAACTTTATAAATCTTATAATTGTTATTTTTCATTTAAAGTAAATATTCACAAACTTATCTCAGAAACATTAAAATAACTTCAAAACATTAAAACATTTCGCACCGTCGGCGTCAACATCTCACTCCTTACATGAAGCCTGTTCCCACTATAGCTGCTATAATACTTAACGTTATTGGCTCAGTGAAAACCCCTAAAGCCAGACTTCATTATTCCGGACACCACATCATCCGGATACCTCATTATTCCAACCACCTCATCGTCCAGAAACCTCATCATCTAGACCACTCATCATCTTGACATATCATCATCCTCACACCTCATCATTGCTCTCTGGGTACAATGTGTAAAGCCCATCTCTGGTGTCCCCCGACGTGATATTGCTGGAATATGGCTAAAAGCGGCGTAAAACCATACTCACTCATTATTTCTTCACCTCATCATCCGAACTTCATTTTTCTGGACACCTCATCATCCGGACACTTCAATGTCTGGGCACCTTGCAGTTGCAGTTGTTTATTCACAAAAAGTGTTAGGCCGTAGGCCTATTACACAGAAGTATTTACAGAGAGAGGGAGAAAAAAGAATTACCACTAGTTTACATATACATCCATATCCATACACATTCATACACATGCATATACACAAATAAATATTTAGACTGTATGTAATGAACGAAGTCGAAAAGCTTTGTAAACGTAGACTGCTAGATTTCGTATGATTTTAGAGTTAGTGGATGACATAAGAGCATTAAATTTATTTTTAGATGGGGTTGTAAAATATTTAGGAGGAATGTATTCAGCTCTTAAATTATTATAAGCATTGCATACAAGCACAAAATGATATTCGTCCTCAATAAAATTCTGGTTACACATCAAACACAGTCTCTGTTCTCTTATTTCCTTAATATATCGACCGGTCTCAATTCTCAGCCGATGGGAGGAGCATCTCAACTGAGCAAGAGCAGCTCTGAATTTTGAAACATTTACTACCTTGATATAGCTGTCTAAGCCAAATGAAATTTTGTAAAGAGAGTAACTCTGGGATTGAGTGCTAGATGAAACAGCTGCATGCCAATCTTGCTCAGACGAGGCTTTTAAACGGTTTACAAATTCCAAGATAAAGCTTCTACTATTATTACTAAATTGCATCTCCCATATGTAGCCAAAACCAAACGAACAGAGAATGTGTTTACCTTATGATCCGGAACATTACAGTTGGAAAGTTTATACTCAAGAGGTCGCCGCTATATCCAGGATTAATTCATTTGAAAGTGTGTTAATCCGGACAATGACACAACGAACAATATTGTTACACACACTTGCCACCATTCAACCACACAACAAAGTATTAGTCCTAGTCAATGATTCAAAATACACTGTGAAGATGGAAAGTGATTATGTTTACTAAATATATTTTAAAAAGAAATACATAGCAACATTGCAAAAGTGCCAGTGAGGCCATGCGGGTTATAATTGTTCTTCAGCAACCCACGCTTGTCTCCCCAGTGAAGATGCGGGTTATAATTGGTCTTCAGCAACCCATGCTTGTCTCCCCCGTGAAGATGCGGGTTATTATTGGTCTTCAGCAACCATCGCTTGTCTCCCCCGTGAAGATGCGGTTTAGAATTGGTCTTCAGCACCTAATGCCTGTCTCCCCCACAAAGATGCGGGTTATAATTGGTCTTCAGCAACCCACGCTTGTCTCCCCAGTGAAGATGCGGGTTATAATTGGTCTTCAGCAACCCATGCTTGTCTCCCCCGTGAAGATGCGGGTTATTATTGGTCTTCAGCAACCCACGCTTGTCTCCCCTGTGAAGATGCGGTTTAGAATTGGTCTTCAGCACCTAATGCCTGTCTCCCCCACAAAGATGCGGGTTATAATTGGTCTTCAGCAACCCACGCTTGTCTCCCCAGTGAAGATGCGGGTTATAATTGGTCTTCAGCAACCCATGCTTGTCTCCCCAGTGAAGATGCGGGTTATTATTGGTCTTCAGCAACCCACGCTTGTCTCCCCTGTGAAGATGCGGTTTAGAATTGGTCTTCAGCACCTAATGCCTGTCTCCCCCACAAAGATGCGGGTTATAATTGGTCTTCAGCAACCCACGCTTGTCTCCCCAGTGAAGATGCGGGTTATAATTGGTCTTCAGCAACCCACGCTTGTCTCCCCCATAAAGATGCGGGTTATAATTGGTCTTCAGCAACCAATGCTTGTCTCCCCCATAAAGATGCGGGTTATAATTGGTCTTCAGCAACCCACGCTTGTCTCCCCCGTGAAGATGCGGGTTAGAATTGGTCTTCAGAAACCCATGCTTGTCTCCCCGAGAAGTTGCTGGTTATAATTGATCCCACGCTTGTCGTAAGAAGCGACAACCGGGATCGGGTGGTCAGGCTCGCTGACTTGGTTGATGTATGTCATCGTATCCCATTTGCGTAGGTTTGCTCATGATGTCAATCACTGGATTGTCTGGTCCAGACTTCATTATTAACCGACCGCCTCCACACAGCTGGAATATTGCTGAGGGCGGCGTTAAACAACAAACAAACAAAACAATGAAACACCTGTCCGTCATAACACTGTAGTATGTCTCCATAAGATCAACTCCACAACTATCGTTAAAAAGAATACATGTCACAGAAAGAAGGTCTCCGTTAACCTCAAATATGCCCCTACAGGGGCGGACCCGGAAGCGCGTTGAGAATCACGTCATTGTAATCACCACAGTGTGATGTGCCGTCCCAGCGGGTGTGAAAGTCGTGTACACAATGTATTAACACTTAGTCTTTGTTTGTTGTGTACTAGGAGATACTTTGTCCAGAAACAATACAGTATGTCATACAAACTCTGGTGTACACACTGATTTAAGTGTAGTTGTGGCATTTATGTTTTAGTGTCATATAAGTAGCGTGGACACGGTGAAGTCAAAGGACGGACCTCGCAGGTAAACGAGACGGTCAGAGGACGGACCTAGCAGTTATACGACACAGGCTGTGTTCCCCTCATCCAGCAGTAACGGTAAGCCAATCAATCTTTTATTAAAGTCTCACTTGTGTACAGCGAAATATAAATGAGAGACCAAAATTGATACGATGTAAAATAAACAAATACAAAGAGCACAGGACACATTATCTATATAAAAGTTCGTTTAGGTGAAATAGACAGACAGGTTCTAACTGCTTAATAAATAGGATCTGGTATTTTCATAAAACACATAAACTTCACAATAACTAAAGATGACATTTAATTCACAGGCGTCTAAACTCCTTCCGATGTCATAATGTAAACAGACCCGTGAAGATCCGGGATAGAATAGATCATCAGCAACCCATGCTTGCCGTAAAAGGCGACTTTGCCTGTCGTTAGAGGCGACTAACGGGATCGGGTGGTCAGACTCGCTGACTTGGTTGATGCATGTCATCGTATCCCAATTGCGTGGATCGATGCTCATGATATCAATCACTGGATTGTCTTGTCCCTACTCGATTATATACAGACCGCCGTCGTATAGCTTGAATATTGCTGAGTGCGGCGTTAAACAACAAACAAACAACATCATGTGAACAGGTTAGCATTCTGTGTAGTTGATCTTCAATCTCATCTGTATAATAAGGACATTTTCTATTTCCCAGGCGTGTATTTGCATAGTGGACGGTTTCAACCATTTGTAGGTCTAGGCCACTTCTCTGGGATAATTTATCAATGGATGACCTATATGTTAGGTCTTTACTTGTGTGGGTCATCGCACTTCTCTGGCATGTCCCCTGTCATGTCCCCTGACATGTTCCCTGTCATGTCCCCTGACATGTCACCTGGCATGTCCCCTGACATGTCCCCTGGCATGTCCCCTGACATGTCTCCTGACATGTCCCCTGACATGTCCCCTGTCATGTCCCCTGACATGTCCCCTGACATGTCCCCTGGCATGTCCCCTGACATGTCTCCTGACATGTCCCCTGTCATGTCCCCTGTCATGCCCCCTGTCATGTCCCCTGTCATGTCCCCTGACATGTCCCCTGGCATGTCCCCTGACATGTCCCCTGGCATGTCCCCTGACATGTCCCCTGACATGTCTCCTGTCATGTCCCCTGACATGTCCCCTGTCATGTCCCCTGTCATGTCCCCTGTCATGTCCCCTGTCATGTCCCCTGACATGTCCCCTGGCATGTCTCCTGACATGTCCCCTGTCATGTCCCCTGTCATGTCCCCTGACATGTCTCCTGGCATGTCCCCAAGTAGATAATATTTTGGATGTTCTCAGGCTGAGAGTGAGCGCCCAGCACACAGCACCGCCGACGTGGTTCAGCTTGGAGTAGCTCTTCAGGCGGAATGACGGGCAATTCCAGCGGCAAGTTAATTAACAATATGCCGTCAACGTGTCGTGCATGCATCTCCCAACATGGTGGACACACCAGATATTGATCGATTATCCGAAATTATTTTTACAGACATTTGTCATCATCACACCGTCATATCATTTCATCAGTTTTCTTATTTCCTGTTGACTTAATCCCCAATGGTAAACACTTTCTTTAAACATGAGACAATTTCATTTGTTTAGACCATAAACATGTTCAGAAAGAACACACCCAAAAGTGTATGCCTTTAGGATTTAAACACATTCCTAAACATTTTAGAGAACTCATATTTACAGAGAAGTAAAAGCGGAACAATTTGTAAAAGACCATCATCCAGACAGATACTGATAGTTTGTTTCACGGCTATTTAACCCATGAAGAAAGTCTGCCTTTGGCTTCACATACATCTATCCTTCGCTCATTCACTGTGTCTTCACCGCCCAAAGGACAACATCATAGTGCTGACCCGTGACGTCACTTCCGGTGGTATATTGTTTACTACCTGGCTGACATTTGTTCCTGGAGTGTGCGGGTGGAGAGGTAACTGAGGATGGTTGTTACCAAGTGCTTTTCAAACTGACTTTATTTTGACACAAGTTTACGAAATATACAGTCAATTTCACGTGCCCCACGAGCTGCAACATCCGAGAAGCACACAGCGTTCACACGAATGCTCCCAGTTTTCACAAACTCCAAGTGCGGACATTCCTGATCATAGTTCTCCAGAACAATGGTATCCCTCTGAATCAGCCATGTAAGTATGCAGGACAGTGTTATACCTACAGGCACGTTGATAGCTGGATCATTGTTGTCGGTTAGTGTCTGACTGCCATTGCATCCCTCAGAAATGACATTTCGATAAACTCTCGAGTATATTTCACACATAAATGAGACTGATTCCTGCCTGTAAAGTGTGTAAATACATGCAGCCTCACTATGTCAAATTAACATTACATTGCAGCTTCCATTTTTCTTTAATATTTAACATGATTCACACATCCAGTTACGCCTCCGTGGTCTAGTGGTTGAAGGATTCCAACTACACAAGAAACAAAGGCAAAAAAGGAATGAATATTTTGAACACAAAAAGCAATATATGGAGAATAACAATAAGAACTCAAAGAATTTCTGGTCTGTGATTAAAAGTTTGAATTGTAAGAATTATGTTCAAAATAATATTAAGATTGCTGACTGTTTTGCACATTTTAGTGATTTGTTTGCTGGTGAGCAAACATCAACTGTGCCGGACGATTTTCCGGGTTTTTTACAAGATGCCTTTACCAATGATGATGTCACTGTAGATATTGAAGAGGATATTCTAAATATGCCTATAACAAAAGACGAAATATTAAACAGCATCCATCCTTTAAAATGTAACAAATCTCCAGGGAAAGATGCCACCATATCTGAATTATTTATACATTCGGCCGTATGTTCCATACCTAGGATTGTTATTTAATGTAATGTTTGAAGGGGGATACTTCCCGGAAACATGGTCTATTGGTATTTTAATTCCGCTTCATAAAGCAGGCGCTTCTAATGATGTCAACAACTACAGAGGGATAACTATCTTGTGTATCTTCAGTAAAATATTTACTTTTATTATTAACAAGAGACTTGTGTCTTGGGCTGATACCATGGATAACATTTCTGAATCGCGGGCTGGATGTGGGGAAGGATATACAACAGTTGATAATGTCTTTATATTGCAATCTCTGATACAGCGCTATATCAGCGGGGAAGTTTTATGGATTATTTGTTGACTTTTCTAAAACATTTGATTCTATATACAGGTGTAAACTATGGAGATTATTTACTGCACGTGGACTTAGTTCCAAAATGTTGAAGCTACTATGTAGTATTTAGGAAAACGTTAAAACATGTGTAGGAGACAAGGGTTTAATCTCTGATATGTTTGAATGCAACTTTGGCGTCCGCCAAGGATGTATATTGTGTCCGCTTTTATATTCCTTTTTCATAAATGAATTAGTATCGTAAATCCATAACAATTGTACAAACGGCATTCAGTTACAACCAGATGTCGTTCAACTCTTTCTTTTATTATTTGCAGATGATATTATCTTGTTCTCAAGCACAACTGGTGACTTGCAAAAGTATATTGATGTCTTAGAAAATGACTTTGATAAATGGAAACTCTCTGTTAATAGTGTCAAAACTAAAATTATTGTATTTATAAACGTTTGCAAACTTGCCAAAAATGAAAACTGGTCCTTTAAAGGTGAAAGTTTGAATGTGACTACAAACTATAAATATTTGGGCGTTTATTTCAGTAACAGTCTAAATTGGTCTACTCATGTAAGAGAAGCATCAGTTCAGGCCAAAAAAGGTTTTATTTGGTACACTAAAGAATATACATATTGTTGGTTATATAAGTTACAAGTCATTCTTCAAGATCTTTGGTATTATTTACCCAAATTTACTTTACGGTGCTGAAATATGGGAATTAAAACAATTTAATGATATCGAAAAGGTTCACTTTTTTTGCATGTAAATAAATTCTTGGTGTAAAACCCAATACATCTAGCGCAATGATTTATGGAGAACGTGGTAGATTTGCTCTATTCATATAGTCACAACTGAAAGTCATAAAGTACTGGCTGAATCTCTTTGAAATGAATTCATCGAGATACCCTAAGAAATGTTGCAATATGATTATGTTATACGATACGAATGGAAAGATTAATTGGGTAACTGCTATTCAATAGTGGTTTGGGAAATGTTTGGTATGATCAGTTTGTACACTCTGAAAGTGTATTTCCCAATTCTTTTCTACAGAGACTAAAAGATGTTTATCTGCAGTCGTGGTTATTTGTGTTGACATTATCGAATACCTTTTTTTATGAGAGAATTATGAAAACTCATATATACACTGAACAGTATCTGTTAAATATGTAAATATAAAGAAATACCGCAATTCATGGGCAAGAGTTCGTTGTGCATCCCATGATTTATGCATCGAGAGTGGGAGATACACAAAAACTCCAAGGTCAGAAGGATTATGTAAAATGTATAATAGCCAAGATATAGAGGATGAATATCACTTTGTACTTGTATGTCCATTGTACTCCACTGTGAGAAAAAAACATATATTCCTGTATATTACTTTACTGATCCAAATATTGTGACATTCCGAAAATTGTTAAACAGTCTAGATAAATTAATAATACAAAACTTAGCCATGTATATATTCCACGCACTGTTATATGGAACTAAATTTGTAAATAATAGTTCAAATTGTGTGCAACACCTGGCACATGTACTATAGGCCTGGGGCCACTTAAGTATTTGAATAAATATGCAGTTTCTAAAAAAGCATCTGTGAACACAGTATGCCACATCACACGGCGGTCTGTGTTCATGAATAACCCTACATGCAACACACTTGTACATGATTTCAGCAAACAACAGAAAGGTATATACCCCGTCGTCATGGCAACAGACATTTTTAGTAGTATTTTTTAAAGGGTACTTTGTTTGAACTTACGGGTGCAGGCAACTTGGCAGAACAGCCGTTCAATCAAGTCAGCCCTGTTCGAGGATTTTCAATTAACAGCACCGCTTATTGCACATGTAATTTTAAACCCATTTATAAAAAAACCCACAAGGTTAGTCTTACATTCGTCACCATAGAAAATGAATAAAGTTTTCTCTACCCCCGTGCGTAATGAAAGACTTAATGAAAATTAGACAGAGTCTCCCGGAACGCTCATCACTTTCGGCGGGTGATACCATTTCTGTGTCATTTGACCGAAACTTGTATAATCCTTATCGTCATGATTATGAGAGACAACCACTCGTAAGCCACTTAACTTTACTGCAACATTTAGTCTACTTAATTTGTCAAATTCATTGTACATGAAAGGGACAAAAACCTTCCACATTCATGAGAAATATCTACCGAAATACGGAGTCGATTCCGACTATGTCATGAGCGGGGTCTCCTCACTGTGCAGGCACCTATTGTTCAGGACTCCTGGTGAAGCCAGGCATGCTTAACCCTTTGACCAGAGTAGGCGGCAGGGGTCGTCTCAAGACACGGTCATAGAGGGGAAAGTCGTTGATATGTTTAGTAGAGCATTTACGTACGGCACATACAATTCACATAATACAATACAATATAACAAGAAATTCTCATCTCAGCCATCGAAACACTACACAATTCAAACAACAAAATTTATACATGGGTATTCATAACTTAAGAGTGCAAATACGCCGTGATATAACTGGAATACTGTTAAAAGCGGCGTTAAACCCAACTCACTCACTCACTCACTCACTCACTCACCCATCCACCCACCCACCCACCCACCCACCCACCCACTCACTCACTCACTCACTCACTCACTCACTCACTCACTCACTCACTCACTCAGAGTCCGAAGCTGGAAATCTAATATCTGCATAGTGGACAGTTGCCTGCAGGCCAGTTTTGAGCAGCCTTTTCTGGCGTCCCATAATTATGACTTCTACAATGAAGACACCAATATCGTTTTACATTTGGGTAAGCGCTTATGGATCCGATGCGCTGTTAGTTCGATTTCGATTTGTTTTTCCTTTCATTGAAATTAATATTGGCGCAATGATTGGTTTGTTGAAATAGTATTTTCCGTGTGTCTAGTGTACATGTAACATGCTTTGTACACGATAACTGATATCTAATTATGATGGTATATATTTTATCAAATACTGACTATAAATCTCCTCAGAAAATGGAATATATTATCATAACAGGACAGGGCTCGTTTTCAAACATTCTGCAATGGATATGAGATCTAATTAATTCTAAATATATACATTATTGATGTCTAATTATGATTGTATATATTTTATCAAATACTGACTATAAATCTCCTCAGAAAATGGAATATATTATCATAACAGGACAGGGCTCGTTTTTCAAACATTCTGCAATGGATATGAGATCTAATTAATTCTAAATATATAAATTATTGATGTCGAGTGTACTCTCGATTTTACCATGAATTTGGAAATTACTCGATTCTGACTGGTCAATCAGAGGCTATTAAATCACATTAAATGCCTTCTGATTGAAACAGCTGGTTTGACGGCCGCATCACCGCGGAAGCTATATTCATAGAATAGTACTTTTTCAGTCATTGTCGGTAGGCATATTTAAATAATTATATCTACAATTGCAGGTTACAAAATACACAGATGCGGTGACTACAATATACAAAGGATGTGTGGCAATACATTCCGTGCAGAAAACACGATAGAAAACTACAAAGATAATGCTGCTCGCTCGATTCCAGATTCAATTTAGCGGGGTTAAATCAACAGGTAACCTAGCTCTACATTGAAAACACAGTATGTTTATCTCTTTATTATCGTATGATAATATCGCAAGTCTGCAGCTTTTATCTGATATGTTATCTGTTGTATCAGCTATGAGCGTACGCTTTGTCTTCCACGTTCAATGATGTTACAATCTGCAATAGTATTTGTGTGGGCTAACAGGCGATGGTCATTTCCCGCGGCTGTGAACCTGTCGCCCGGACAGGTGTGAGTACGCGTGGTTTGACCACACGTCAAACAGCTATGGAATACTGTAAGGGACATTCTCGCGAGAATGCGAGATCGTGAGGATGTCCCTTACAGTATTCCATAAACAGCTGATCTAATGTGGTCATGTGATGGAAACACGTGGTTTTCAGTTTCTAAATAGTAATAGCATCTTTTACAGAACTGATCTGAACTACAACGTGGATCTAGTACATCACAAGTGTGAACATTTCCACAGTCACCGACAAGTAAATGGCGCAGTATCCTAATTTTGCTCTGTTGACATGTGTTTTTCATTTCTGGTGTGATATTTCTAACAATAATGGGGATACAATTGAGTAAGGGAGTGGAATGTTTTACAGTGAGTGAGTATGCTGTTACGTCGCCTTTAGCAATATTCCAGCAATATCACGGCGGGGTACACCAGAAATGAGCTTCACACATTGTACCCATGACGGGAATCGAACCCGGGTCTTCGGCGTGACGAGCGAACGCTTTAAACACGATGTGAAAGCTGTCAAATAGATCCAAGATTATACCAATTTCAACTTAATTTCTTGAAATTTCAAGATACTAAGTTGAAATTTCAAGATACTTAGTTGAAATATCAAGTTATGATTTCAAACTTTCAACTAATTATCTTGAAATTTCGAAATCATAATTTTGAAATTTCAATTAGTATTTATCTTGAAATTTCAATTTAGTATGTATCTTGAAGTTTCAATTTAGTTTCTTGAAATTTCAAAATCATTATCTTGAAATTTCAGCATTGCATCTTAAAATTTCAACTTAAATTTCTTAAAATTCTAGATACTAAGTTGAAATTTTAAGATACTGAGTTGAAATTTCAAGATACTAAGTTGAAATCTCAAATTATAATTTTAAACTTTCAACTCACGATCATTCCCTTGGAATTTCAAAATCATAATTTTGAAATTTCAACTTGTATGTATCTTGAAATTTCAACTTAATTTCTTGAAATTAGAAGATACTAAGTTGAAATTTCAAGACACTAAGTTGAAATCTGAAATCTCATAATTTTAGAATTTCAACTCATTATCTTGAAATTTCAAAACCATAATCTTCAAAAATTTCAACTTAAAATAAGTATGTATTTTCTGTAAGTTATAGTAATTACGCAAAATTTATAGATCCCAATCACTGGTTTGTCTGGTCCAGACTCCATTATTTACAGACCGTCATCATACAGCTGGAATATTGCAGGGTGCGGCGTAAAACAACAATCAAACCAACTTCACAATGCTAGAAGCTATTGAAGATCTAGATTTCAAACAAAGGTGCTTGCTAGGCTACCCTTGCCACATGCGTGTGTCTCAACATTACAGTTAATGTGAAAAATAGCAAACCTCGACTACTGGCATGGTCATCCTTGGCTGGGGATGCATATGTCTTTGATTTTCTGAATTTCCATACTGTTGGAGAGACAATCAGCTCGTTAGATTTATACAATTTGGTTACGTCGTGTGTAGAACTAAGAACGTTGTAACATTTTTGATACAATGTGTACGTTTTTGAAACCGCGTCGTCATCACACCAAAAGTGGGCACAGTGGGGGGACACCGAAATATCTACCAAAAAACGGAGTCGATTCCGATTATATCATGAGCGGGGTCTCCTCACTGTGCAGGCACCCATTGTTCTGGACTCCTGGTGAAGCCTGGTGAAGCCTTGTGAAGCCTGGTGAAGCCTGGTGAAGCCTGGTGAAGAATTAACACAACACTGTTGATACGTACATACTTTTACTAACGCTTCAGTCCATTGCTCAAAATACAACTCCTAAACAAGACAGTGTTGGCCCGTCCCAGGGTCGGAAAATATAGTAATGGCGAAGTGACTCAGTCAACAGCAACAACCAGCACTACTCTACTAATGTTACGGTTTCTTTTTAAGATGATCGCACCTGACCTTTCTTTGTCACATGTCACACTACGTCAATTTGATTTGTCAAAACTAAATCTGACCATGAACTGTGTGTCGTAATCGGAAAAATACAGGAGCTTTGTGACAGATTGAGCGTCTCTATTGATTTTCTCAATCCCCCTGTTTGGTGCGTTCTCTCTCTGCTGATGAACTGAACAACATCGACAGCTTGGAACCAATCACGATGATAAATGGAAAATGTCATTTCTCTGTCGATTCCCCTTTTAACTGAGACTGTCTGTTACACGATTTGTGTATAATGCAATCACACCATTGATATTAATCACTGGATAGTCTGGTCCAGACTCGATTATTCACAGATCACCGTCATATAGCTGGAATATTGCTGAGTGCAGCGTTAAGCAACAAATCAACCAACCAACCAACATCATTGATTCTATCGTGGCGGCAATCATCATTTCAAAGGTTTAATTTGTGACAGTTTTCTAATGTTTTGACATGCATTTTAACCTTATAAAAATATTAAATTCACCAAAGGCACTAGATGTACATTTCGATCATTTTACATTAATGTGCGACGATGGTATAACAACGTTGGAACACATCTTTCATTTAACAAATTACACCCTGAATGTGCACTATTCAAACAATGACAATAAGCAGCTTTGTTGCGAGCGACTCCACCGTGCGCCGCTTAGGGCATGCACATCAAAGGCATATAAGTATGAAATATGCTTTAGTTTTGCCCTGAACCATTATGAGGTCAAAGAACTCAGACACAAGCGTATCTGACACAGTTCAGGGCAAAGCTATACTCTATTAACTTTAGAGACATTTAGACCAACTTCTTTATTACAATTAATATTAATTAATATTAACTAATTGTAAGAGAGAAGTTATTAAAGGTAAGTGGTTATCGTAGATATACTTTCAATCTCAGCTTCCTGGTTGAGAACATTACTATTAGTCACACATCCTACCAACTGTATCACTGTTGTCGTCATATGTCGATATTTTCCTGTCACCATCAGTTTGGATTATTTTATGTCGTAAGTCCTGATATTATGTGTGTTATGCAAGTGCCTGTAAATCTGATTTGGACATTTAATTTCAATATATATTCTACGTTTTATACATGTTTGACTTATTCCCTAATGACATGCACTTTGTTTAAACATGTTTAAACCTTCAACATGTTCAAATTCTAAACATGTTTAAACGTGCCTAAATTCTAAATATGTTTCGATTAGGTGGATGTTGTGTTTAAGTGGTGTTTCGGCTGTGAGACGCTATTTTCATGTGTTAAGACCCTAAACGTGTTCAGATTGAACACACTAAATGTGTTTTCAGGTTTGGATTTATACACATTCCTAAATACGTTTTCATGTAAACATGTTTTGTATGTACTTAAATTTTTTAAACAATTTTGTTACAGTGTACCAAAGCACTGAATTAATGGTTTGGCAAAACAACAAAAAACATAATTTTGAAATGTTTGGCAAATGTAGGCTGCATGAAGCCAGGGAGACGTTATTGGACGTGTTGCCTGGTCGCTATAGTGAGTGAGTATGGTTTTACGCCTCTTTTAGCAATATTCCAGAAATATCACGGCGGGGGACACCAGAAATGGGCTTCACACATTGTACCCATGTCGGGAATCGAACCCGGGTGTCGGCGTGACGAGCGAACGCTTTAACAACTAGGCTACCCGACCGCACTTGGTCACTATAGCCCTGTAGACATTAACATGGATTTGCACACGAATTCTATGTTCACATTTGTTTTCATTTTCGGCTGACTGTAGCATATGAAGAGGCTCGTTTAAGGCACTGCATGACTATTTATGAGGCAGCTTTATAACTTGCATCTCATCCGATTAACCAAACCCTTTCCTCGCTGTCTACACAGGTACAAGAGAGGCGCCAACTTCCACACGCTCGTCCTAGGGTGGAGCTCCGTACAGGGTTGCATCAACCAGTGGCGTGCCAGCATGGACCCGCCCTCTACCACAACCTACACCCTACCCCCAGCCGACCAGCAAGACCCCCTGGAGCCTGAGTTTGAGCAGCCCAGCTCGAGGGGTTGTGTTGATCAGCAACTGTGTGAGAGACCGTCAATATGGCGGCAACTGTGGGGGATCCGCAACGTGCTGGTTGTCCTGCTGACACCAATTATCTTGTTGCCACTACCTCTCGCAGCTGATGACCCGGTATGTATCTTCAGCAGCTTGGATTGTATATGCAAGCTCATATTGACCTCTAACTTTATTGACGCAGTTTGTAAAAGATATGCAGGAATTGACCTGTGAGAACTGAACTCTAACATCTCCTGCGTCACGTGACTTGGAGTGCGTGGACGGGCATTTTAATGACAATGCTATTTGTAGGTGTCAGTGTCATTGTTCCGTTGTTTTGGATTATGAAATGAATGTGATGAGCCTACAAATTAGAACTGAGAACCATGCTCATTACTTATATATATATCATTGTAGCCATCACAGCAGGCGTACAGTGTTCCACATGCTCATTGAATGCTCTTTCCCTCCAGAAAACCCAATGCGCTTACGTGATCTTGGTGATGGCCGTGTTCTGGATCACGGAGGCCGTGCCCATCGCAGCCACGTCTCTCATCCCCATCTTCCTCTTCCCCATGATGGGGCTGCTCACGGCCAGGACGGTGTCAGCAACATACCTCAACGTGAGTAGCCGCGATGTAGTCAATACACCTAAGTATCAGCAACATACCACAATGCCAGCAACACACCTCAATGTCAGCAACACACCTCAATGTCAGCAAAACACGACAATGTCAGCAACACACCTCAATGTCAGCAAAACACCTCAATGTCAGCAACACACGACAATGTGAGCGACACACCTCAATGACAACATACCTCAATGTCAGCAACACACCTCAATGTCAGCAACACGCCTCAAAGCACACACACCAATGTCATCAACACATGACAATGTCAGCGAAACACCTCAGTGACAACATACCTCAATGTCAGCAACACACGTCAATGACAACACACCTCACTGTCAGTAACACACGTCAATGACAACATACCCCAATGTCAGCAACACACGTCAATGTCAGCAACACATGTCAATGTCAGCAACACACCTCAATGACAACATACCTCAATGTCAGCAACACACGACAATGTCAGCGACACATCTCAATGTCAGCAACACACCTCAATGTCAGCAACGCACCCAGTGTCAGCAACATACCCCAATGTCAGCAACATACCCCAATGTCAGCAACATACCTTAGTGTCAGCAACGCACTTCAATGTCAGCAACATACCTAAATGTCAGTAACACACCTCAATGTCATCAACACACCTCAATGTCAGCAACATACCCCAATGTCAGCAACACGCCACATATATAGAGTGGATCAGCATATCAATGAATTACGCTGGCAGTGCAACGTGATGCTATTGACATAAACACAGATAGAGTGGATCAGCATATTAATGAATTACACTGGCAGTGCTTCGTTAAGCTATTGACATAAACACAGATAGAGTGGATCAGCATATTAATGAATTGCGCTGGCAGTGCCACGTGAAGCTATTGAAATAAACACAGAGTGGATCAGTATATTAATGCATTTCGCTGGCAGTGCCACGTGTAGCTATTGAAATAAACACACATAGAGTGGATCAGCATATTAATGAATTACGCTGGCAGTGCCACGTGAAGCTATTGAAATAAACACAGATAGAGTGGATCAGCATATTAATGAATTACGCTGGCAGTGCCACGTGAAGCTATTGAAATAAACACACATAGAGTGGATCAGCATATTAATGAATTACGCTGGCAGTGCCACGTGAAGCTATTTAAATAAACACAGATAGAGTGGATCAGCATATAAATGCATTTCGCTGGCAGTGCCACGTGAAGCTATTGAAATAAACACAGATAGAGTGGATCAGCATATTAATGAATTACGCTGGCAGTGCCACGTGTAGCTATTGACATAAACAGACATAGAGTGGATCAGCATATTAATGAATTACGCTGGCAGTGCCACGTGAAGCTATTGAAATAAACACAGATAGAGTGGATCAGCATATTAATGAATTACGCTGGCAGTGCCACGTGAAGCTATTGAAATAAACACAGATAGAGTGGATCAGCATATGAATGCATTTCGCTGGCAGTGCCACGTGAAGCTATTGAAATAAACACAGATAGAGTGGATCAGCATATTAATGAATTACGCCGGCTGTGCCACGTGAAGCTATTGAAATAAACACAGATAGAGTGGATCAGCATATGAATGCATTTCGCTGGCAGTGCCACGTGTAGCTATTGAAATGAACACAGATAGAGTGGATCAGCATATTAATGAATTACGCTGGCAGTGCCACGTGAAGCTATTGAAATAAACACAGATAGAGTGGATCAGCATATTAATGAATTACGCTGGCAGTGCTTCGTGAAGCTATTGACATAAACACAGATAGAGTGGATCAGCATATGAATGCATTTCGCTGGCAGTGCCACGTGTAGCTATTGAAATGAACACAGATAGAGTGGATCAGCATATTAATGAATTACGCTGGCAGTGCCACGTGAAGCTATTGAAATAAACACAGATAGAGTGGATCAGCATATTAATGAATTACGCTGGCAGTGCTTCGTGAAGCTATTGACATAAACACAGATAGAGTGGATCAGCATATGAATGCATTTCGCTGGCAGTGCCACGTGAAGCTATTGAAATAAACACAGATAGAGTGGATCAGCATATTAATGAATTACGCTGGCAGTGCCACGTGAAGCTATTGAAATAAACACACATAGAGTGGATCAGCATATGAATGCATTTCGCTGGCAGTGCCACGTGAAGCTATTGAAATAAACACAGATAGAGTGGATCAGCATATTAATGAATTACGCTGGCAGTGCCACGTGTAGCTATTGACATAAACAGACATAGAGTGGATCAGCATATTAATGAATTACGCTGGCAGTGCCACGTGAAGCTATTGAAATAAACACAGATAGAGTGGATCAGCATATTAATGAATTACGCTGGCAGTGCCACGTGAAGCTATTGAAATAAACACAGATAGAGTGGATCAGCATATTTATGAATTACACTGGCTGTGCTACGTGAAGCTATTGACATAAACACAGATAGAGTGGATCAGCATATTAATGAATTACGCTGGCAGTGCCACGTGAAGCTATTGAAATAAACACAGATAGAGTGGATCAGCATATGAATGCATTTCGCTGGCAGTGCCACGTGTAGCTATTGAAATGAACACAGATAGAGTGGATCAGCATATTAATGAATTACGCTGGCAGTGCCACGTGAAGCTATTGAAATAAACACAGATAGAGTGGATCAGCATATTAATGAATTACGCTGGCAGTGCTTCGTGAAGCTATTGAAATAAACACAGATAGAGTGGATCAGCATATTAATGATTTACGCTGACAGTGCAATGTGAAGCTATTGAAATAAACACAGATAGAGTGGATGAGCATATCAATGAATTACACTGGCAGTGCTTAAATCAGCAGTTGATATATATTCATAAAGTACGGATAAACCGATTAATGAAACTCCAAATGTGTTTGTATTCAGGATACCTCGGTGTTATTTCTTGGAGGTCTCATTGTGGCAGTTGCCATAGAAACATGGGATCTTCACAAGCGTATAGCAATCGGAGTGTTGATGTTGGTTGGAGCGGAACCGAAATGGTAGGAATATTTCCCAGGAACAAACATAATTATGAGACAGTGGGTCACATTTTCTGGGTTATCGAGAAAACGCCCGCCCGCGAAAACGGCCGCTGGCCAATAGGAGAGAACGACCGCCGCGTTAGAGAAAACGTCCTTTGTATCAAGAGAAAACGTCCTCTGGTCACACTAACTGTATTTCTGGTATATTGTTGCAGGAATATGATAAAGTAACATTAAGTGAATGATATGACACTTAATGATTTTTACACTAGGCTTTGATGTTGTTTTAATATTGTTTTAAGAGATGAAATAAAATAGGATTATGAAAGGAGATAATCAAGATGAGATCTCAATTAATAAAGGATTAACATATTTCTGAATATAGATCAAGGAAATTTAATTGAAGCCAGATAAACATAGCGGACGTTTTCTCTAAGTACAAAATTAAAGGACGTTTTCTCTAACGCGACGATGTTATTTCTAATTGACCAGCGGCCGTTTTCGCGTTCGGATGTTTTCTGAAATGCATATTAGCATGATTTCAAAACTTATCTTAATGATCGTATGTTTAATCTTATTAAGTCGAATGAGTCACCTGAATATCAATATAGCAATGAAAAGGAATGGTTTTCTTGACTATGAAAAGAGCAGACGTGTCAAAAACGGAAACCTTTCAAATGTGGACATGCTAGATATATCCTTCTCAAACTGTCTTTAACGATATTAGGCTATTTAAATTCTTTGAAAAAGTTGATGAAAACAATCTCATACGTCATGTGTGTGTATTTCAGGTTGATGGCGGGGCTGATGGCGGTCACGTGGTTCCTGTCCATGTGGATCTCCAACACCGCCACTACCGCCATGATGATTCCCATCGTACAGGCAGTCCTGCAGCAACTGAAGACTTCCGGTCATGGCGACCAGGAGCAGTCGCCAACAGGTGAAGGACCATGTATGGGTATTTATCAAACGTTGGTTGGTTGGTTGGTTGTTTAACGCCGCACTCAGCAATATTCCAGCTGTATGGCGGCGGTTTGTATATAATCGAGTCTGGACCAGACAATCCAGTGATTAATATCATGAGCATCGATCCACACATGCATCCACCAAGTCAGCGAGCCTGACCACCCGCTCCCGTCAGTCGCCTCCTACTTACCAAACGTCAACAGATGTACTCAAACGTCAACAGATATACTCAAACGTCAACAGATGTACTCAAACGTCAACAGATACACTCAAACGTCAACAGATGTACTCAAACGTCAACAGATACACTCAAACGTCAACAGATGTACTCAAACGTCAACAGATACACTCAAACGTCAACAGATACACTCAAACGTCAACAGATACACTCAAACGTCAACAGATACACTCAAACGTCAACAGATGTACTCAAACGTCAACAGATGTACTCAAACGTCAACAGATACACTCAAACGTCAACAGATGTACTCAAACGTCAACAGATACACTCAAACGTCAACAGATATACTCAAACGTCAACAGATACACTCAAACGTCAACAGATGTACTCAAACGTCAACAGATACACTCAAACGTCAACAGATATACTCAAACGTCAACAGATGTACTCAAACGTCAACAGATGTACTCAAACGTCAACAGATGTACTCAAACGTCAACAGATGTACTCAAACGTCAACAGATACACTCAAACGTCAACAGATATACTCAAACGTCAACAGATGTACTCAAACGTCAACAGATACACTCAAACGTCAACAGATGTACTCAAACGTCAACAGATGTACTCAAACGTCAACAGATACACTCAAACGTCAACAGATACACTCAAACGTCAACAGATACACTCAAACGTCAACAGATGTACTCAAACGTCAACAGATACACTCAAACGTCAACAGATATACTCAAACGTCAACAGATATACTCAAACGTCAACAGATGTACTCAAACGTCAACAGATGTACTCAAACGTCAACAGATGTACTCAAACGTCAACAGATATACTCAAACGTCAACAGATACACTCAAACGTCAACAGATGTACTCAAACGTCAACAGATACACTCAAACGTCAACAGATGTACTCAAACGTCAACAGATGTACTCAAACGTCAACAGATACACTCAAACGTCAACAGATACACTCAAACGTCAACAGATACACTCAAACGTCAACAGATGTACTCAAACGTCAACAGATGTACTCAAACGTCAACAGATGTACTCAAACGTCAACAGATATACTCAAACGTCAACAGATACACTCAAACGTCAACAGATGTACTCAAACGTCAACAGATACACTCAAACGTCAACAGATACACTCAAACGTCAACAGATGTACTCAAACGTCAACAGATGTACTCAAACGTCAACAGATGTACTCAAACGTCAACGTGCGTTCTCAGGGAATATTTTGCTTGCTACTTATCGTTGGAAACGTAGGAAGACAGGCGCTGAAAAGGGGTGCACGTTTGACGTTTGTTGAAAACACTATAACCCGGAGATCAGACGTGACTGCTAACCTTTCTTTCACAACCTACAAAAAGGTCGCGTTGTTGTAAACTGGCAGCGGAGGTTGTAATAATGATAGGCTGTTTATATTGCGCATATTTCCACACAACTCAGGGGCATGTTCAAAGCGCTATTATGACCCCGTGTGCACTCAAGAATCATTTTCAGCTCCCTCGGGAGTATGCAACCCAAGCCGACTGCAAGGCGCTAGAAGGTTAACAACCACAATCTCATACTTCCGGGTACCCATTCACTGGTGGGTGAACAGATGCCCGTATTCGAACGAAGTCACTTGCCCAGTGTGGGATAGGAGCCCGATATACTCTCAGGGGCCAAGCTGGTGAAACGCGGTCAGCCATCCAAGGACTCTCTGCAGCCGACCTTGCTTCACCTGATCTGTGACCTGTGTGCTGTGCACAGGACCACCTACTGCCACTGTTCACCATGAACTTTAAGGCATGCTTCTGTGCTATGAAAGTGAATATTAATTATGACGAATGATTTTAATTATTAATGCTGGAATAGTTAGTTGTGGAAGTTCAAGGAATACGTACATGCATTCTGTTTTCATGCCATTTTGCCATGGATAATTTATATCAGAAGTGTAGGTTCAGTGAAGCTAGAAACTTTAGTACTCTTCTTTACATAGTGTTAGTGTTAGTAGTGAAACGTTCGTTTTCACACATACCCAGGGGTGGACCCAGTCATTTGATTGCATGCATCATTACCGCACAATGACATTCACGTTCCATTTTCTGCAACTTCATCAACAGCAAATGGTGGCGTCCAACTCGAGATGACGCCAATCGGCGATGACGTGAAGAAGCCTGTCGAGGACCAGACGAAGGTAGACGTCAGTAACGACAACAAAGTTCAACCCTTAGGAGCAACACCAGACGAACACACCAGGTAAGTGTGTGAGGGGTGGGTGTGGGTGGTGTGGGGTCGGAACAACCTGATCAACTCACCAGAATGTGATCTGGTCTTTCCAGGCCACCGTCATATACATGTACTTCATATATTGTCTACCTCAGCGCTAAACAACAAACAAAAACACCAGCATCATCGTCATTATTTATCTTCACAGTAAAGAGCAGAGTATAAGACGTTGTCACAATTGTTTGCTGCAAAACTACGGAACCGTCCGTTATTGCTTATACTTTTTCACACTATACACTCTTAAAAAGAGAAACGCACAGGTAGTATCTAGTTAATTTGAGCCTGACTACACAAAATATCCGGAATATAAATTGGATATATGTGATTGGAAAATGTTGGTGGCCTGATATTCGCCAAACGGTGAGTCAAAACGCAGCCATTGTCGATTTGCAATGTCTTAAATGGCATTGTTTTCACACTTGTTAAAAAATGTCAAGGAGGAAAACAATAAAGTAAAATGCACGTTCAACTGAGGTCATTCGAAACTCGTGGTTACTATAAAAAGGCAAGCAAAGCCAAATATTTGTCATTCAATTGTCAACATTTTTCAAGTTCGAAAATGCCGAGACTCAGCGCTGCCGATCGGAACATCGCCAAAGGACGTATTCAAAGAGGGGAATCGCAGTCTTCTGTGGCACGCCACTTCAACATCCATCACAGCACCATTTGTCGCCTTTGGGACCGATACACACAGTTCATTTCAACTGCAGAACATCCAACGCAGGACGCATCCCGGGTTTGAGGAGGATATCGCACCAGACTTCAGGAACTATCTTCGCAAGGCTGGAATCCGACCCAGAAGACCAATTATTGTCACTGTTTTGCAACAGATCCATCGACAGCGACGCTTGCGTTGGTGCCATACCTTACAGCCTTGGAATTTGAGAAACTGGAGACGTGTGTTGCTCATCAATGAATCAAGATTTCTTCTTCACCGACGAGATGGAAGACAACGTGTTTATCGTCGTCAGAATGAGCGTTTCGCCCCACATTATGTACGCGAATTGGGAGGGGGGGCATATCCCACACCATGAGATCTGACTTGGTTGTGGTTCAGGGAAATTTGATAGCAAATTGCTACATGAATCAACTTCTTCAACCTCACCTTCTTCAAATCATTGGCCGCCAGAGGGAGCTGTTTCAACAGGACAATCTCTGGAATGAACTCGATCGACGTGTACATCAACGTCAGAACACGCCGCAGCCACACACAACTGACCAACGCGTTACAAGCAGAATGGCGTACACTTATCCAGAATTCGTACACTTTTCCAGTCAGTGATGAGGAGTCGTGATTGCTGCCCGGGGCGTCCAGCGCCACCTTGTGGCCTTATGTGACATGACAATGAACAATTTCCAATGCCTTTGTACAACGACAACATGTGACTATCGAGCTCCAAAATTTCATATTTGTATCAATGGTATTAAATTAAATATATCGACACTATTAGGTACAATAAATTTACTAAACACCTACCTGAGCGTTTCTTTTTTTGGAAGAGTGAAGTGTGTTTGTTGAACTATGAATATTTACCTTTCCTCCTACAAGCAATGCATGCTAAAATGAGCACCATGATGATAAAACAACGCAGTTTGAAAGAACATTTATTTTACCCATGAACTGTTTCATTATAAAACCGTCTAGGGTTTCTTGTATTCCAAGTAGGGGTGTGTGGAGGCCTTTTTGCAACCATGACGAGAATCTCGTTTGGCTTTCCCCAAAAGCTGACACCACTGACATAACTATACACACATTCACTGTTTTAAATACCTGCCATTGTTCCAGATCTGCCCAGGCCAAGGCAACACAGATTGAAGAAGCTAAACACCTGCGCATGTGCAAAGCAATGTCTCTGAGTATTTGTTATGCTGCGAATGTTGGTGGCATCGCAAGTCTCACGGGAACTGGCCCAAATCTCGTGTTGAAGGGGCAGTCTGATATGTAAGTTCACAAGATCAGCTGATAAGCAGCTCTATAACAACAGAGGTTTCCAGGACATATATGTCTGATTGTAGTAAACTGCCGGGCAACAGACAGTATTGTCGTATACGCCCATATTTGATAGTGGCTAAAATTAAGCAGACAAATAATTGTTATTCGATGGTGATATATTTTTAAGTGATATGGGTATCATAGTTGTGTTTTGGATCTGTAGTGTTTTCAACCTGTTATAGTTATGATAACGTTTATATTTTCTTCTGTCAAATCCGATTTTCAAATTTATGCTTTCTTTTGACGGGCGTATCTATAGTATGTATATTCACGTATTGTAACTGGATACCCACACATGGATTTTCATAAGTGGTCCACTGGTCTCTGGCATTGAGCTCACAATACACAGTTGTGTCCCTTAGTTCCCAGGATCCGCTGGTCGTAGGTTTGACTCCTATATCTCTCTGAGGAATGGAGCCTGTAAGTACCGTACATCTACCATAGTTGTCGTTTGTACGTTCCTCCAAAGTTAAACTTGTGTTCACTCACGGAGTCTCAAGGAATAACAACTGGAATCCTTAAATTTCAGAATTTTCGCCGACAACAACGCCACGTCTCCCATCACGTTCAGCACGTGGTTGGTGTACGGCGTCCCTCTCTCCCTCATCGTGCTCGTCCTTCTCTGGATCTGGATGCAGATCTACTTCCTCAGATGCAGGTACTGGTGGCAGCACAACTGGTTCTAACTAACGTTGAACGACTTTATCAGGGATTCATTTCACTGAAAGCTCCCATGTTTCCTCTATTAACAATGTATTATTCCACTCACTACATGGTTGCTCACGGTGCTACATATCTTTGCCGGGTGATTGGATCAATGTGTACAAACAATGTCATTCTCTGCCCCTGTGGAGTAAGATGCGCTAGAAAGTTTACAGTAACATTACCATCTCATCCTGCTGGGTACCCATGTACGGCTGTATGAATGATAGTTCATTTCGAACAAAGTATCTGCCAAAGGCGTCACAACATGTAAACTATGTTTCAATGTGGGGCAGAAACGAAACTCTAGAAACCTTTAGGAGCCAGGAAGGTCACCTCGTCCAACTAATCGCCACGACCAATGATGCCCAATTACGCCGTGAGGTGATTTGTGACAATTACCCTCTAAACAGAACCACCTGCTAAAACTACCAGCTATCATTCAAAGCACGATAAACCAAACTCATGCACTCACATTCATTTTCAGAGGTTTCTGTGACTGTTTCAATGGTGGCACAAACGGCGACGCCAGCAAGAGAGTTAAAACTGTTATACGAGAAGAGTTCCGGAAACTTGGACCCGTCTCGTATGTTTACCTAGACTGTGTTCCCTCTGGTACTGACAATACGAAAGTAAAGCTCCCGCAAGTCATATTACAAATGCGACATGTTCTCATTGTGGGATTATGTTTTTCTGTCACATAATAGTCCAGTTGCGGTGTAACCATTAAGGTGTTTCAGGTTGTAGAATGGCCATTTGTTTTTTCATCTATGTTGTTTTTTCGGGGATTTTTTTTTGCATTCACATGATACTCACCCATGATACATATGGCTCTAGACGTCCACGAGGCCAGGGACTACCGGTCTTCCGTAATAAAGAATGAACAGTGTTATCTATGTGCAGATCAATTAATAACCTGTTAAGGTCGTGATATTGTTTCTTTGCATATATAATTGTCATTGACTGTTTCAAATTGTAATAAAATGTAATAGTTGTATAATGAGACTTACACATAAAATATTTTACTTGAAGGTTCAGAAAATCAAATACAAGATCAGTATATATCTAATGAACCATAATGAATTAACGTAAAGGGGTCAATGTCTATTCTTTCTGAGGAATGTTTCATAATCTTTCATCATTTAGGTCGTATCATCTTCTGTTTCACAAACATCTGGTATTTCAATAATGATGAGGTTAAAAAGTCACATTTTACATGGACCAATGTTAAGGAAAATCTTAAACTGCAGTTCCTTTAGCTCATTATGACAAAGCATCTTGCCCTGTTGTCATGATTCTACAATCTCATAAAGCATTGTGATTTTCTTTTCAATCAAATATCAATAGAAAAGGGCAACCTTGTCTGACACCTCTGTTCAAAGGAAACCAATATGTTGATCTAAAGTCTACTTCAAGTGATCCTTTCTGAAAGTCTGTAAACACCCTCAAAAGAATTATCAAAATCATTCTAGGGGCCTTTCTGTTCGTCAACATAAATCTTCATTAAGCATTTCTCTAATAAACTAGCGGACAAAAGAAACTCCACCAAAAATAATGGTCTGCAGTTTTCTACAAATTTGCTAAACAGCACGAAAACAGTTGGGAACACATAGCTGGAATGCAACTTCCCTATTCTCCTTGAACATGTGCACGTACTTCACGTGAATTTAATCACTAAAAAATGCAAAATGTGCACAAAGTTACCCGTGTGAAATTCTGGTATAAAACATGGGCAGGATTGTACTCTCTCATCACTTGAAACCGTTTAAAACAACGAACATGCCTCGACTAACCGCAGAGCAGAGAGGGAGAGCCATCGGTATGATGCAAATGGGAGCGACGCAGGTGCACGTTACCAGGATCATGGGCTGCTTCAAGTACACCATTGCCAGACTTGTCACACGCCACAGGCAAACTGGCAGTACTACAGCTACAGATAGGCTGGGAGTGGAAGACCCAAGGTCACGACCCCACAGGAAGACCAGTATTTACGGGTGCTTCACCTGAGATTCCTAACTGTGACCTCACCATCCACAAACTGCCTTGGACATCCAGTCAGCAAAAGGACTGTTGCTAGACGACTCCGCCTGTATGGCCTCCGTGCTTATCGACCTTTCAAGGGCATGACGTAAACGTTTCTACACCGACGTTACAGACTGAGATGGGCCAGGACTGTACAGCAATGGCAGCAGAGATATTGGTGAAGAGTGCTCTTCAGCGACGAGAGTAGGTGCCAGCTCTTCAAGTCTGATGGGCGGGCTTGAATGTACCGACGACGTGGTGAATGGGCGGCATGTGGTTGCGTCCAAGACGTGGAGCCTTATGGAGATGGTAGTGTCATGGTCTGGGGTGGCATCTGCAGTGACCAGAAGACAGATCTGGTCATCATCGACGGAAATCTCACTGCATGTCGTTTCATTGATGAGGATTTGCGGCCTGTGGTACTGCCTTTCTTGCAAGGACACCCACGGACGCTGTTTCACCATGTTGACACAGCTCGAGTCACTAGCGACTTTCTGAACGCCAACAACGTTACCGTATTACTATGGCCAGCCAGATCACCTAACCTTTCGCCTATTGAGCACATATTTGACCAACTTGATTAGGAAACGTCAGCAGCCGCCATTGACGAGGGATGCCTTGGCAATTGGCCTGCCGGAAGAATGGTGTAGGATCCCTCATCAAAATGTCAGGAGATTCATGTTCTTAGTTTGACGTCATGTTTGGGCCTGCATCATTGCTGGAGGGGGTCACAACCGATGCTGAGATCGACGTCGATTCCGCGGGTGTGATTGATCGAATACTGGACAGTATACCCATCATGTAAAACGTGTCTGCAGAACGTTAAGTACATGGTCTTTGATCTCGTCATTTTCAAATACCGATTTTGAATAATTGTTTTTTATGATAAAACATCAACTGTTACTAAATTTTCCATCGGTTTTGTTTTAGACCAGACACTTGTTTGTTGGGGTTTCCTTTGCCCATTGGTTTAGTTGTAAATTCCTCTTTTCTTCACTAATTACTTCATGATTTGCTGATACAATCTTCCTTGGACCATTTGGTACTAGATCTTTTAATCCACCGGTCACTTTCCCAATTCCAAGTATCTTCCAAATTCAGTTTTCGTTTCCAAATATTGCTGTTCCCAATAATTATTATCCAACATCTGACTCTCTAAAATTGCCAGTTTCATTAGCAAGTAAGTCCCTTTCATTGTTATCACTTTCCAAGATTTTCTTTACAGGATAATCTTTTGAAATCTGCAATAAATTATGTTAAATCCATTCCCAAACATTTAGACCAAAAAAGTGTTACAATTTCAGATTTATTTCTATCATTCAACATCTGCTAAATATTGATTATTCATTTTCCGAAAATAGGCCCTCATCTGTTGTTAATGTTTTGCTTGGAGTGATATTTGAATAAACAAATCTAGTGATTGCAGACTAAGAAATAAGCTATCCCAGACTGAGTTGAATCACGCTTCCTAATTTACCAATAACACTAGCTAGGGATTCACTTGTTTTTTTATGATAAACCTAATATATATATCATTTGAAGATTAAGAACAGTGTTAAAGTCTCCGCCAATTACTGTTGTATCCCTTGCCACAAATGTCTTACAAAATTCATCTTGAATAATTTGACAAATAACTCTCTTTTTTTTCATTTTGGGGGGAATACACATTTCCTATTATCTCAGTTCACCCTTCATTTTTTACAACAGTTCACCCTTCATATTTTACAACTATCATCACAAACCTTCCCTTGTTTTATATCCCGTTGCACCAGAAGTGACTTGGCTGTTCGATTACCAGCTGATGCCCCCTGACTTAAGTTATTATCATTTCTCTCCCCCTGCTGTCTCCATAAAGGTTAATCTTTTATAACACCACAAGCTTCTTGCAACATATAAATATTTCATTTCAGTTTTTTCCTCTGTTTGTTTTACGAGTCGGGTTTGTGAGAAGTAGTTTGATAACCTGTTATGGTGTAATACTATTTGTACTCCAGGTGAAGTACAGAAATCAACGTCGAACCCAACTCACTCGTTCACTGAATATTTAATTGCTTTTGCTTTGGTTTCCAGATTCGCTCAGTGGTGTATTATGATCTTCTTTGGAATTCTCGTGGTGTTGTGGATAACGCGAGACTTCGGTGAGGTTGCCGGATGGGGAGAGATTTTCAGACCAAAGTAAGCTTCAACGTAAACCTCAGGGATCGAGGAGTACTATATTTCCTAAAATTAAACGCCCTTGCATACATTTCTCTCAGACACTCTTTACCCCGGGCATTTAATAATAATAATAATAGGGGGAATTCTGTGCATAAAAACTTCTTGGAGTATAATCGAGACCCTTTTATATATTTGAGGACTGGTTTATAATCGAGGAAATACCGAATACAGATTAATAATACGATTTTAGAATGTGTTATCACTTTAAGCTACAGGTTGTACATATTGTGCAGCAAAATGCTGAGATATCATTACGCAATTTTGAATATATACATATATTTGTACTAGTGTATCTGGCATAGATTTGGTATTTGTGTGAGGTTGAAACGTTTACATATTTGCCCCAAGATTCAGGGTTTTACAATTTTATCGATTTATGTTTATATACTTGATATCAAAAACACACAAAGACAAAAGATTCTATATATCTTTCAAACTCCTTCTTTCTTATTCTTTGTCTTCTCCTTCTTCTCTTTCCTCTCCTCATCCTCCACCTCTTCCTTCTCCTCCTTCTCCTCCTCATCTTCTCCTTCTTTCCCTCCTTTTCCTTCTAATTCTCCTCTTTCTTCTTCTTCTTCTTCCCCTCCTACCTCTTCTCCTTATTCTTTCGCTGCTTGGTCCTCTTCTTCTCCTGCTCCTTTATCGTCTTCTTCGTCCTTTTCTTCTTTTAACATGCTTAGCACTCTGAAACTGTGAAGCCAGTTTTGGATGATAAAGGTTTATACTATTAAAGAAGACTATTGAACAGAAACTTCATGCTATATTTTAAAATGGCCCATGTCACTTTCACCTCACGTTTTCAGCTTCGTTTCGGATTCAACACCTGCCATTTTCGTCAGCTTTCTTTTGTTTGTGTGTCCTGCCAACGTCCCTAATGTGTTCTGCTTACGAAAGCCTGGAGGTAAGATGCTACTGAGATGCTACTGACCCTACACCGACAGCCTCCGTGTCTCGGGTTATGAGTATATCTCGCTCACATTATCTTGAACTTCCTATGGTGACTTCACACCATCAGTTACGACCTGGGGAACCACCATGAATTATTCTAGGGGGTGACGAGGGAAGGGGAGAGGTGCCATGATTCTTGACCCAATACATTTCAATCAACCTTTATAAACAAAATATATTTTCTCTGTAAATTAGAACAATAATAAATTTTCCGAGCAGCTCTGACATTGAAGATCCAGCACGATTTCCCCCATCATTTCTGAGAACAAATTGCTTCTGCAAACAAATCACACTCTCCGAAAACATACTATCATCAACTAGTCAGACATGCAGAAGTACAGACTTTTTCTTAACTGATGATACGCGCACAATAGTGACGAAAAGTAGTGGTAGTATAAGAAGACGTGGAAGTAGAAATAGAAATAGAAGTAGCAATAAACATTTATTATCATTACTTCATTTATATTTTATATAACTGATGTTTTGTCTATATTGTCATCGATTATATAAATGCATTTTCACATTTAGTGGCCTCACAGAGGACATCTGATAAACGCAATCAAACGCTTAATGATACGATTGTTCTTGGTTGTTTTGTAGGTCAATGAAATATTGTAATTTCATGTTCCATTCCTCAGATTTGACCAAACCAAAGATCCGGCCCATCCTCCGCTGGCAGGATGTCCATGAGAAGATGCCGTGGTCACTCTACCTCATCCTTGGGGCTGGTTACTCTCTGGCGAGAGCCTCACAGGTAGGCAGCTTGTAGTAGATCTCTACCTCATCCTGGGGGCTGCTTAGTCTCTTGCGAGAACCTCACTGGTAGGCAGCTTGTAGTAGATCTCTACCTCATCCTGAGGGCTGGTTACTCTCTTGCGAGAACCTCACTGGTAGGCAGCTTGTAGTAGATCTGTACCTCATCCTGAGGGCTGGTTACTCTCTTGCGAGAACCTCACTGGTAGGCAGCTTGTAGTAGATCTGTACCTCATCCTGAGGGCTGGTTACTCTCTTGCGAGAACCTCACTGGTAGGCAGCTTGTAGTAGATCTCTACCTCATCCTGAGGGCTGGTTAGTCTCTTGCGAGAACCTCACTGGTAGGCAGCTTGTAGTAGATCTCTACCTCATCCTGAGGGCTGGTTACTCTCTTGCGAGAACCTCACTGGTAGGGAGCTTGTAGTAGATCTCTACCTCATCCTGAGGGCTGGTTAGTCTCTTGCGAGAACCTCACTGGTAGGCAGCTTGTAGTAGATCTCTACCTCATCCTGAGGGCTGGTTAGTCTCTTGCGAGAACCTCACTGGTAGGCAGCTTGTAGTAGATCTCTACCTCATCCTGAGGGCTGGTTACTCTCTTGCGAGAACCTCACTGGTAGGCAGCTTGTAGTAGATCTCTACCTCATCCTGAGGGCTGGTTACTCTCTTGCGAGAACCTCACTGGTAGGCAGCTTGTAGTAGATCTCTACCTCATCCTGAGGGCTGGTTAGTCTCTTGCGAGAACCTCACTGGTAGGCAGCTTGTAGTAGATCTCTACCTCATCCTGAGGGCTGGTTACTCTCTTGCGAGAACCTCACTGGTAGGCAGCTTGTAGTAGATCTGTACCTCATCCTGAGGGCTGGTTAGTCTCTTGCGAGAACCTCACTGGTAGGCAGCTTGTAGTAGATCTCTACCTCATCCTGAGGGCTGGTTACTCTCTTGCAAGAACCTCACTGGTAGGCAGCTTGTAGTAGATCTCTACCTCATCCTGAGGGCTGGTTAGTCTCTTGCGAGAACCTCACTGGTAGGCAGCTTGTAGTAGATCTCTACCTCATCCTGAGGGCTGGTTAGTCTCTTGCGAGAACCTCACAGGTAGGCAGCTTGTAGTAGATCTCTACCTCATCCTGAGGGCTGGTTAGTCTCTTGCGAGAACCTCACTGGTAGGCAGCTTGTAGTAGATCTCTACCTCATCCTAAGGGGCTGGTTAGTCTCTTGCGAGAACCTCACAGGTAGGCAGCTTGTAGTAGATCTCTACCTCATCCTGAGGGCTGGTTAGTCTCTTGCGAGAACCTCACTGGTAGGGAGATGCCTGCAGGTGATCTTTGGAGGAGCAGGACAAGTGCATTCCTGGACAATTATCACCTAGTTGACTTACAACCCTTGACTATTATCACTGTTGACAATTACAACCTAGGACAATTACCATCATGGGGAATAAAAACCTAGAGCCTCACAAGTAAGAAACAGCCTGCAGTTTGTCTAAGGAGGAGTGGGACAAGTAAGTCCCTCGACAATTACCACCTAGGGAAATTATCAGTTAGAGAATTACAAATCTTTGACAATACCAACGTATGACAATTACCAGCAATGGGAATTACAACTTAATACAGTTACAACACTCGACAATTTCCTTGAATAATTAGATAATTAGCAATTTTTACACCCCTGGGCAATTTCATCCAGTTAGCAACACCACGACCAAGAACAATTACAACCCTGGACAATTACCAGAATTATCACCTGCGCACCTGGGCAATTAGACATTGAACAATGACTGCCATTGTATAGTTACCCCCCAAAGAACCGAGCACAATTAAATAGGAGGACAATTACCTCGCAGCATAATTACAAAACAATCATGGCCCAGGATAATCACACCCTGGGCAATAATATCTCCTAAACATTCACGATAGGAAACCTTACGCCGTTTTCAATATATTCTATATCTTGTGCTCCTTAAATTCTCCGACTATTGAAATTGTAAATATGCTCGTTTATATCTCCTCGGTGAACGATTCAGAAACATACAGATCGATTTTATAACACCATGTACTTTCTCGACATTTAAACATTTAAATTCCTGTTTTGAAAACAAATAACTTACTTGAAATGTCAGGACATTTATATGGAGTAGAAAGATTTGGAAAAAATATCGTTAATTACGAATTCTCGATTGCAGGACTCCGGACTTTCCGAGTGGCTGGGCGGGAAACTGGGGGTGTTTTCCCACCTTGACCCCTACTTGATGTTGCTGATTCTCTGCTACATCGTTGCCTTTGCCACAGAGGTGACCAGCAACACCGCCATTGCAACACTCATGATGCCAATCATGGCACAGCTGGTAAGTGCCGAGTTCCTAATTTTTGCTGGCCATTCTTCAGGAGATCTGAAATTCGGTGAAACATGTCAGCACTGATAGTTTTCAGTAATTATAAAGAATTTGTAGTTCTAGGGTTTAGTAATCGCAATTGAGGTCTCAAAGTACTTTTATGCAATTTTTATCTTTGTTCAAGAAGTATACAAGGACACCCATTTTTGTCGTCTCAATGAGCACATTGTACATGTGGATATATATTGTGATTTTGACGTTGTTCAATACAATGTATAAAGTTTATTATTGCTATCACAAGTTAGAAGTGAGATACGTAGCTAATGGATACGAAGGGCAAGCTAAGAATAATATAATTTAACTACAGGTTTCTGGAACATAACATTAAAGAAAACAAGTACTGAGAGTCTTTAGAAAGAAAGGCACACATATATTGCCTGCAAGATGTAAATTTTACTGCCGATCAGAAACAGATATAAAACAGCAATGCGGTTACAATAAATGTTACATTCCGGCACATAAAAGTAAGCTTAGAATTTAAAGTTACACATTTTTATACAGATGGAGTAGAAGGAAGGTATGTTGCACTTAAAGTTGAAATATGAAATCTTATGTATAAACTGATAAATATTTATTGCATATTTCAAGAAAAAAAAAGGAATAGCACTGAAACTTGCGATTGAGAGAATTATTACATTTGGTGATTGGAATTCAGTTCTAGATCTAAACACGTAACCAAAGGTTAGAAACAACGTATTGGAAATTATTGATGTACTGTATCATTTTAAAAGCCCGTGGAGACAATCAAACCCAATCGAAAATAAGTATACCTGGAGTCAACTAAAGACATTGAAACAACTACGGCTACATTTCGTCTTTGTTTCATATAATTTGTTGCATTCAGTTAGACAAGTAGATAATAGACCTAGCATAAACTCTGGTCATTCAGTGATTTCGTTAACATTATCATTGTCTGAAATGTAAAGGGGAAATTTATAAATTCGTTACTTTAGGATAAAGAATATGAAGAAATGGAAAAGAAAATAAGACAGTCAACACTAAAACAGTACAAAGATGAAGCTAGTTGACAAAATATTTTATTGATGACCAGCTCCTCTAGGTCAGTTTATTAGATCAAAGGCTAAATGGATAGAACAAATCCGAGTAAATGCATTTTACAAATTGAATTTAGGAAGTTTCTTAATAAACCAAATACTAACTTTAAAAAAAATGATGGATCAACGATGAACAATTAGGACGATATACTAGATGTAACAAAATGTATTATAAAAAGTTGTATTAGAGAGAAGAATGTTCCCAGATAGACTTATAGAACTGTTTGCCGAAGATGAAGTGCCAACATCCTCAGACAGTGTTTACAGACTTTGGAGGGAGACTTTACATATGAAGAAACTGTCAAAGCATTGCAAAATATATATATGAGTCCAGGCCCTGACGGTTTCACCATAGAGTTTTTTCTGGACTGACCCAAGTATGTACATATTATGAGCTCATTAAAATTTGCAGGCTTTGCCCATTGCCTATTAGTAAGAAATCAAGGATTGCTATCATGCCTCCCAAAAGGAGACAAACCAAAGATTTCGTTTAAAAATTGGCGGCCAATATAACAGAGAATGTTTCTTATAAATTGGCATCAGCCCATATATCAAATAGGGTTAAAACAGGTTGCCATTGAGTATAAATGAGGATCAGAAAGGCTATAGGACAAATAACCCGATTAATATATGATATGATGGACTACACTGAATCTTATCAGATGCCGGAACTCATGGTATTATTAGAGTTTGAAAAGGCTCTTGCCACAGTTGATAGACATTTTATAAAAAAACGTGTTACCTTTTTTAAAATTTCGGTCCAAGGATTCAAAAGTGGTTAGGAACCTTTTTAATAATTTAAGATCCATTGTTCTGGTAATTGGATTTAGAAGCGCTTTCTTTAATAACACAAGATGTTGGCGCCAAACATTACCGTTTCACCGTATATATTTTTCGTCTAGGCTGAAATATTAGCTTTAATGATAAGGAGGGTACTGAGAATTAAGATGGGTAATATTCAGCATATACTGGCTCAAGTTGCAGGCGACATTAGATAGGTCGGGAAAATGACTATGAAATTATTAATACTCAATTGTTTCGTAAGATTTTTCTGGACTTACGGTCAATACAAACGAAACAAAGCTAATCTGGATTGAATCCCAAAACAGATCCCGCTGTAAACTATGTCATGAATGGGAGGTAGATTGGTCACAGACATGTTTTAAATAATTAGGTTTAGATTTTGATATCTTATTCCAAGATATGATCAATTTAAATTTTACAGATAAACTTTAACAAAATAGAAAAAGAAATTAATGTATCGTCTATTCTAACTTTTACACCATTTTTCAGAAATGTAGAGATGACATGTCTACTCCTTCCAAAATTATTCACCTTTTCTCGTCCATACATATTCCTACAGATGATATTGTTTCGTGTCGATTCTCAAACTGAAACAATATGTTTACCCTTGATGAAAAATATCGTGTCTTCTTTGTAGGCCGTCAACTTGAACGTCAATCCCCTGTTCTTCATGTTTCCTACGGCGCTAGCAACGTCTTTCGCCTTCATGTTGCCAGTAGCAACACCGCCAAATGCAATAGTATTTTCATACGGACAAGTGCGGGTCATCGATATGGTACGTGACATCGTCAATAAACGACCTGTTTCAAAAAGTTTTTCAGACCCTAATTAACTGCTTGTACAAACAATAGTTTTCTTTCAGCAAAATACTTTTTGCACTATTTCTAGATATAAATGCATGAATACATGCATGTACGACATATAGGTTGTTTATGCCTATAGATATATAGGGTCTGTCGGATAGGCTCCGTTGTGGTGTAGTTGATGGGGCGTCTGTCCGGAAAGCGGTAGGTGGTTCAAGCCCTGCGACCATTTATACGTTGGAAGATGGTCCTTTTTTGGTGTTTACCTGCCTTGCACTCGGCTTTGAGGGTCACGTTGGGGTTGGGGGGGGGGGGGGGGGGGGGGGGGGGGGGGGGGCGGAAATGTTCGAACCTCAGACCTTCCTCTCTCCGGACAGACGCCTCCACCATGGAGGCAGTGAGACAGTTTGACTTCAATAGCAATGTATTCAGACAATTACTTTGCCACATTTGGACCGTTATTGTCAACAATGAATTGCGGATACTTATTACGTATGTATTCCCCCTTTAACTTAGTTGTTGCATATCCAGTGACGTGTGGCTTCCTCATGAACATCATATCTGTCCCCGTCATCATCTTGGCGACAGCGACGTGGGGCAACGCCTTCTTCAACTTCGACACCCTCCCGCCCGGTTTCATCCGAGCGACCACGCCCTTGTCGCTCTTCAACACGTCATCCCCCCTGCCGCTCCTGCTGAACGCTACAGGCTGAGTCCGCCATGGTTCCTCTGTTTTCATGTTAAAGGGGGACTCTCGTGCTCTCATCCAGTCTAGGACGCTGTACATTTCCATATGTAAGAATGCCGGTACAATGAGGTGCCTGCAAGGGATTCTCGATGCTCGGGACAGCTGCGAGTGGATGCACATAAAAGGGTCTGCTTCACAAAGCTATCTCAGCACTAAGATTGAAGTTAATCCTTTACTTTGACATAGACCTACCACAGTTGTAGATCTAAGATCGCCTTCAGAAGTAACATGGTGTTATTCACCTTATGGTCTTTTGTCTGTTTTCCATGTGTCACTGCGTTACCGAAGATGAATCAAAGCAGAATCATTTATTCATTTGAAATCACAGTTACATAGACATATTCACATGTAGTTTCAATAAGAAATTCACATGTCAGTTTCAATGAGATATTCGTCAATCAGTTTCACTGTGATATTAGCACAGTCAATTTCATTTAGATGTTCCAGTACTTGGTGTATATGCCCAGCACTTGTGTAAACCTTTACCTGTGTATATCATCACTTGTGTATACCAATTCTTGTGTATAGTCATGTATACCAGTACCTGTGTATATCAGTGTATATAGCATCCACACTACCATATACTGAATATATTTTTATATTAAATACTGTAGTTTGTTACATCATCGTTCTTCAACTCCTTCAATGGATCGATATGTAGCTGAAGCTAAGTGGATTCGAAATCATTAACCAGACGAACAACGTCTCACTCAGAAGCAACCCTGTCGGAATGCTGGGTTGGTATATAGCTCCCCGCAAACCTGTGCCTGTCGTTAGAGGTGACTTTGTGGATCCGGTGGTCAGGCTGGCTGACTTGATTGATGGCATGTCATCATACCCCAGCAGCCTGTGATGGTCGTAGAGGTGACTTTGTGGATCCGGTAGTCAGGCTCGCTGACTTGATTGATGGTATGTCATCATACCCCAGCAGCCTGTGATGGTCGTTAGAGGTGACTTTGTGGATCCGGTGGTCAGGCTCGCTGACTTGATTGATGGTATGTCATCATACCCCAGCAGCCTGTGATGGTCGTTAGAGGTGACTTTGTGGATCCGGTGGTCAGGCTCGCTGTCTTGATTGATGGCATGCCATCATACCCAGCAGCCTGAGAATAATGTTTATTATAGTATCACATGTTATATACACTTCATACTAAAACACGTACACGAACAATACTATATAACATCGAGACACTTAGACGAAAAGCAAATTATAACGTCATGATCTGGATAAGGTAAAATCAGACATATACTAACACAATGTTTAAAGTTTACGAACACGCTCGCTCGCACGCACACGTACACACACACACACGCCAAATTACTTATAAAGTCACGCAAGCAATCATACACAAAACACGGAGATACCCACAACACCAACCCAACACCCACCATGCACCATTCACATACACACGCACACGCACACACACACACACGCACGCACACACACACATACCATGCGAACAATTATACCACACACCACGCAACACACACACCATACGTACATTATTACCTCCCCCCCCCCCCCCCCCCCACACGCACAAACAAACAAACACGGAGATACCCACACACCAACCCAACACCCACCATGCACCATTCCACATACACACGCACACGCACACGCACACACACACGCACACACACACTATACCATGCGAACAATTATACCACACACACGCACACATACACCATACGTACATTATTACCTCTCCCCACACACACACACACACGCACGCACACGCACGCGCACACACATACACACCATACGTACATTATACCCCCCCCCCCCCCCCCCCCCCCCCCCACACACACACACACACACACACTAAACACAGAGGTGCATTTATTCTCACCGACACTCAACATAAACATTAAGTATAACATTGATCACAAGTAGAAATACTACTATTCGCAAGCATAATGACATACTTGCAGAAAAGCGCACACAGAATCAAACGAGTGACAAGCGTCTTTGGAACATTTGATCAATTAGCTTACAAAGAGTATAACGCCCGTGTTCACATCTGAGTAATGTTATACAGGCCGCCGTCACAGCTGAGGTTTAACAAGAAACTGGAACCTTCCCCCGCCACCCGCAGAACACAGACCTAATTAAAACATAATAGTTATTGATGTCAAAACAACCCTTTCCCCGCTACCAGCAGAACACATACACAACTAAAACATAATAGTTATTGATGTCCAAACACCCCCTTCCCCCGTTACCAGCAGAACACATACACAACTAAAACATAATAGTTATTGATGTCCAAATAACCCCTTCCCCAGCTACAAGCAGAACACATACACAACTAAAACATAATAGTTATTGATGTCCAAACACCCCCTTCCCTCGTTACCAGCAGAACACATACACAACTAAAACATCATAGTTATTGATGTCCAAACACCCCCTTCCCCCGTTACCAGCAAAACACATACACAACTAAAATATAATAGTTATTGATGTCCAAACAACCCCTTCCCCCGCTACCAACCGAACACAGACATAGTTACTTGGTGCCATGGATCTTAATCTTATTTATACAATGAGGACAATTTCTATTTACCAGGGATACAATCATATAGAGGCCGGTATCAGCCCTTAGTGGGATTACGTCACTTCTCTGCGATAATTCTCTAATGGATGCCCAATGTGTTAGGTTTTTTAAACGTGTGGGTCAACGCCTCATCCGGCTTGTGGTTAAAGCGTTCGCTCGTCACGCCCAAGACCAGGTTTCGATTCTCCACATGGGTACAAAGTGGGGAACTCATTTCTGGTCCTGCCCTCATATTGGTGAAATATTGTGAAATGCTGTGTAAAATCAAAACTCACTCACCGTAAACATGATCTGCGTGACGTGATTGTTAATATACAGCAATTGTTTTAACAGTTGACCGGTGACCGGTGACCGGTGACATTAAACGTTGTGCTGTCAGAAGGACGTACAGGGCGCAGGTAGATACCCATTTCAGGGGTGATCCTCGGCGATGACATTCATTATGTTGTTTGATCAAGATTACAACAATCAATGGCTCAGCAAAACTATCTGAAAGTTTTATGATAGGCAAGTTAAAAACATTTCCAAATTTGACGCATCAGTAACAAAAATGATGTCCGATGCAATTCCTTATTTTGACTTGCAACATGTGTTCCCGTGTTTCTGCAGGTGAACCATTGTCTTGCCTTTGCATGTGTTTGTGACGGGAGCCGCTGGTGGGGCAGGATACGCTCACCTTTTCGTGAACACCTGGTATCATCACTATTTGATAATGTTTCATAAACACATGCTCAGGGTATAGTCGGAATCGTACAATCGACTCTGCTTTATGCAGAGATTTCTATTGGATATGGAAAGGGTTTTGTCTTTATGTACGGGATCATTGTCGCCGGGTAGTGTCTGGCTGCCATTGCATCCCGCAGAAATGACATTTCGATAAACTCTCGAGTTATATTCAATACTTCTGGCATATTTCAAACATATATTGATTCTTGCCTTTTAAGTGTGTAAATACATTTAGCGTCATTACGCCAAATTAATATCATATTCCATTTTTCTTACTGATTTAGAGGAGGACCTGAACCTGACCTGAATACATTTCTGTAATGCGTGTCAAGAATATGCTCATACTCGTCACAGTTGGCAACAATGCTTTAAATTTTGGTATCACCACACAAATATATCTTATTCAGTCATTCTTCCACCATCTTGATGCACACTTTATTACGTTTATACAGCGGTCTGAGTACATGAATATCTTACCTTACTTTTAAAATAATTTAATTTAGAATACTTGGTGACGAGCCCTGTTCAGTGGTACCGGATGACACAGTGCAGAACGCTGGATACCGTGACATGTTTACCTGGTACGCGGATGCCAGTATGTCTGTGTTGAAATATTTTTTTCAATTTTCTCAATTTTTGCAAAGTCTGACAAATCAATAACAGATTTCGCTCCAGGCTTATGAGCACGCGTTGTCATGGTTTTTCTATATGTGAATTCCATGTCTAATTACATATGCCAGCTGTGTACACTGCTCTTATATTGTATGCTGGATGCCTCCAGGTATATTGTACGTGATGCACAGACCTTAAACACAAACAAATAGTTTTCTGGAGCGTACCTGGCAATATGGCAACACACAAAAGCTTCACAATATGTTGGTGATACAGTTTGTACTGAAATTAGGATAAATGATGCACGAGGCGGTAGAATAGCTATAGGCTCATCACGGGGGATGTTTGAGGTAACCTGTGCGTGGCCGAGGTCAGACCAGAAAAACACATAAATGTCTCACGCCATCGGGGCACAAGGACATACACGCCGCCTGACGGTGTGTCAACACTTGAAAGACGTACCACCTGCTACCGACTCCCACGTCGAGACCCACAGACGTTGCGGGAAGAGGTGAGATGAAATGGGGTTTAACGTCGCGTCCAAGATTATTGCACTTCTTTAGCGACGTGCATGCACGTGTGTGTGTGTGTGTTTGTGTGTGTGTGTGTCCCGATTGAAGCCGATTCATAGGTCTATCCGCAGTTTAACATGAATACCCCACTCAGACACAGTATACTGACTCCGAGCCGACCAGTTCTTGTTTTAGCCCCTTAATGCCGAGCGCCAGACAGGGTAACAACAAGTACCATCTTTTAACGTCTTTTGGTATGACGCGGCCGGGGATCGGGGATATAAATAAACTGTTAAAATATAAAATTTTACAGAACATCAACTAGACCAGGCCTACACGCCTCTGATGATTCACAATGATTCACTATGAAGTTGGTGCAGGGAGGCGGATGTCTCTTGGGGCCTACTAAACCTGTACACATTCAAATACTTATATCTAAATTAGTTAATGATTTATCACAAATGACCAAGCATGCTGTATGTGACGCGAACCCCCGCGTTCTGGACCTGTACTGTACAGGTGTGTGAGTGTGCCTCGTCCCCCGATTGTAATGGACACTTGATCTATGAGGTGAAATGGGGTTTAACGTCGCGTCCAAGATTATTGCACTTATATAGCAACATGCACGATGTGTGTTTGTGTTTGTTTGTGTCCGTGCGAGCGTGCGCTTGTACTTGTCCGGACTAATGCCGCTTTATTAGTGCTTGTCCTCTGAGACATCCTGTCGCAGTTTAACATGAATGTATATTTTGTGTTTTGTATTTTGTACTAGAAAAGTGCGTATGTGTGTGTGTCTCCGCTTGTACTTGTCCGGACTAATGCCGCTTTATTAGTGCTTGTCCTCTGAGACATCCTGTCGCAGTTTAACATGAATGTATATTTTGTGTTTTGTATTTTGTACTAGAAAAGTGCGTATGTGTGTGTGTCTCCGCTTGTACTTGTCCGGACTAATGCCGCTTTATTAGTGCTTGTCCTCTGAGACATCCTGTCGCAGTTTAACATGAATGTATATTTTGTGTTTTGTATTTTGTACTAGAAAAGTGCGTATGTGTGTGTGTCTCCGCTTGTACTTGTCCGGACTAATGCCGCTTTATTAGTGCTTGTCCTCTGAGACATCCTGCCGCAGTTTAACATGAATGTATATTTTGTGTTTTGTATTTTGTACTAGAAAAGTGCGTATGTGTCTGTGTCTCCGCTTGTACTAGTCCGAACTGATGCCGATTTATAGTGCTAGCACACTGAGATAACATGCTGTACACATAGTATAACATGAATACCACACTCAGACACAGTATACTGACTCCGAGCCGACAAGTCCTTGTTTTAGCCCTCTAATGCCGAGCCCAAGACAGGGTTACAACAGGTACCATCTTTTAACGTCTTTTGGTATGACGCGGCCGGGAATCGAACCCCGGACCTTCCGCTCTCCGTGTGGACGCTCTTCCACAAGGCGGGCAGCAGTATAAATGAAATGAATTGAGGGGGGTGGGAGTGATTAAAAAAGATTAAGGGTCTATCGTAGTAAACATATATTTTCATTGTTAGCTTCCTGTAGATGTAGAAATACCATAAGTCATACAACAACACATAGCATCAAACCTCTGCGGGATGGTGAATCTGCAACCTCAGTTTTTGTCCCTAACGCTACCGCCTGTGCTACGGAGACTGTCATCTCCCAGAGTGTTAATTTTCCTCGTCACCTTTAACCGAACTTGTACATTTGGATGTCAACCTTAACCGAGCTTGGTTTATCTGTATGTCAATATTGTCCCAAGTCATGTTGGTATGTGTAGCATTAAGTGCCTGGGAACCTGATTTGCACATTTAAGCTCAATTATATAATCCTATCCATGTTGACTTTTGGGCTAATGATAAGCACTTTATTTATTTATTTATTTATTTATTTATTTATTTATTTATTTATTTATTTATTTATTTATTTATTTATTTATTTATTTATTTATTTATTTATTTATTTATTTATTTATTTATTTATTTATTTATTTATTTATTTATTTATTTATTTATTTATTTATTTATTTATTTATTTATTTATTTATTTATTTATTAACGAAGACTAACACTTGTTATCTCACTATTATTATACGTATCCAGCACAATTAAATGAGTACAGTTCGCAGGCAGCTATAAATACGACATCCTCTGGCCCACAGGTTTTGTGGACAACACGTCATTGTACTATTGGCCACACATGCGTGGTATATCTGTCGTTCCCTTTGTCTGTTTAACAACACGTGCGTCGGGTTTATAGTTAGAGACCGATTATTGAATTTCTGGAAACCTTGAAAATAATCATGTGCCCTAATGTGTTCCTAAACACGCGCGTCTGCAGGACATCATCGATGTCGTGAAAAATTGTCCTCTGAAAAACATGAATCGTCTCCTTTCGCAGAAACAAATTTCGAAGGAGAAAAACATGAAATATATTATCAAAATCAAAACCCAAAGATCTGACCATGTGTTTTGTTTTTTTCTCTCTTTTGTCATAAACCTCTAACTGTAGCATGTGGATATTTTCGTTGAAGGCACCGATCTTTTATGAAGCACTCATGAATCATGATATGGTTTATGACTTGCCTTTGCATGTGTTTGTGATCACCGTGGGGCAAGATACGCTCATCTTTTCACTAACACTTGGTATGACCACAATTTGAAAGTGATTCATACCATTGCCTGCTCTGATATAGTCAGAAATGACACAATTGAGAATGGAGATTTCTTATGATTAGGACTAGGCCTCTGTAAAGCTTTCAAAACGTTTTATAGTAGGCATGTGGGGGACATTTCCAAATTTGACGCATCAGTGACAAAAATGATGTGCGATGCAATTCCCTATTTTGACTATTTCCTGTGTATTTCAGGTAAACAATTGTCTTGCCTTTGCATGTGTTTGTGACGGGTGCCACAGGTGGGGCACGATGCGCTTATCTTTTCGCGAACACCTCGTATCATCACTTTTGGATAATGACTCATAAGCACATGTTCCGGATATAGTCTGAATCGTACAATCGACTCTGCTCTATGCAGAGATGTCTATTGGATTTGGGCAGGTTTTTCTCGCTTTATGTATGATAATGATTATGTCACACTATTTTAGTCATATCTCAAACGACATCTTAATGTTGCAAGAATGCCCTACGTGACTCAGGTGGATCCAAGTATGGGGTTACCAGCCAATGATCACACAGAGGGAGATTCTAGGAGTCGAACAACACCAAGCGGATCCTGCAACTGATAGGATCAACCAAACCCTTGCGGCGCTGTCTCCACAGGAACGAGAGAGGCGCCATCTTCCTCACGCTCGTCCTAGGGTGGAGCTCCGTACAGGGTTGCATCAACCTGTGGCGTGCCAGCATGGACCCGCCCTCTACCACGACCTACACCCTACCCCCAGACGACCAGCAAGACCCCCTGGTACCTAAGTTTGAGCAGCCCAGCTCGAGGGGTTGTGTTGATCAGCAACTGTGTGAGAGACCGTCAATATGGCGGCAACTGTGGGGGATCCGCAACGTGGTGATTGTCCTGCTGACACCAATTATCTTGTTGCCACTACCTCTCGTAGCTGATGACCCGGTATGTATCTTCAGCAGCTTGGATGATGTATAGAATCTCATAATTGTAAACCTCTTACTTTATTGACGTAGTTTGTAAAAGTTATGCAGGAACTGACCTGTGAAAACCGATCCCTGACATATGTCACGGCACAATGCTGTGTGTAGTATCAGTGTTATAGTTCCCATGTTTGGATTACGTTCTGTCCTTACAGAAAACCAACTGCGCCTACGTGATCTTGGTGATGGCCGTGTTCTGGATCACGGAGGCCGTGCCCATCGCAGTCACGTCTCTCATCCCCATCTTCCTCTTCCCCATGATGGGACTGCTCCCAGCCAAAACGGTGTCCGCAACATACTTCAACGTGAGTACCCGCGACGTCGGCAACAAATCAATCTCAATGTCAGCCAAATACCTTAGAGCCAATAACATATCTCAGTGTCAGCAACAAGCATCCTTGGCAACCACATACCGAGTGAGTGAGTGGGTGAGTGAGTGAGTGAGTGAGTGAGTGATATCAAGGTGTGTCAGCCTAATGTTGGAGGAAATGTTGACATGGTGCTGATCGTACACCTTTAATATAACTCCAACAGCTTCGTGCAGCTATTGACATAAAAACAGATAGATTGGGGAAACAGATTAATGACTTACAATGTCAATGCTTCACGCAGCTATTGACATATGACATAAAGACAGACAGACTTAGTAAACAGATGAACGATGAACACTGTCAATGCTTCACGCAGCTATTGACATATGACATAAAGACAGACAGACTAAGTAAACAGATGAACGATGAACACCGCCAATGCTTCACGCAGCTGTTGACATATGACATAAAGACAGACGGACTAAGTAAACAGATGAACGATGAACACTGTCAATGCTTCACGCAGCTATTGACATATGACATAAAGACAGTCAGACTAAGTGAACAGATGAACAATGAACACTGTCAATGCTTCACGCAGCTATTGACATATGACATAAAGACAGACAGACTAAGTAAACAGATGAACGATGAACACCGCCAATGCTTCGCGCAGCTATTGACATATGACATTTGAATAGAAAGACTAAGAAAGCAGATGACTAAATTACAATGTCAGTGCTTCACCCAGATAGAGTAGGTAGCATATACTCAACAACAAAACTTCCTGTGACACCAATATTTTAGTGTATTTTTCAAACAAGTTTGGTTTTCAATATTGTAGTACATGTATGGAATCAAGTCACAAAAACGCCACTGCTACAGAAAAGCATGCATTCCATGCAAAAGTTGACTTTTATGCAAGCCCCATGCATTTCACTACCCAAGAATGGGTATAAAAACATGTGCGTTAACCGGATTCCATATGCATTGTTTAGCATCGTGCTGACAACAACCACTTAGAAAAACAACTAAATGACGCAATTATTCAACATTACGAAATGCCACGCCTATCCGAAAATGAGCGTCTGCGAGCGATTGGCCTGCTTGAAGCAGGATCGAGTCAACGTGATGTTACAAGACAATTCAACGTCCACAGAAACACCATTTGCAGTCAGAAACCATCTTCGGAGTGGCAGGCCACGCGTAACCAATATTCGACAAAATCGATTCCAGCCAGCAACAGTGACTGCAAGAAGCATCCCTGGCCTTCGGCGAATATCTTCACAAACCGTACGTCGTCGCCTCAGATGTGCAGGGATTGTCACCAAAAGACCCGCCAGACGTCCCATTTTGACAGGAAACCACCGTCAAGCACGTCTACAGTGGTGCAGACAGCGTCTACGCTGGACAGCCATGCAGTGGGGACAAGTTCTATTCACTGATGAGTCTCGTTTTCACCTCAGCCACAGCGATGGACGGATTCGAGTGTACCGACGTCGAGGTGAACGTCAATCATTGTGTCACGGAAGAAGATCGGTTCGGGGGTGGCAGCGTTATGGTAAGGGTGGAATTACAGCAAGACAGAGGACCCGTTTGATAGTGGTAGAGGGACATCTCAATGGACAGCGCTACCGCGACGAGATCATCGGCCATGTTGTTCTTCCGTTTTTGCGTCGTCATGGCCCAGGCATTACCTTTCAACATGACAACGCCCGGCCTCACATTGCTCGACTTGTTCAGGATACACTTCAACAAAACAACGTGAATGTCCGGCCGGCTCGCTCCCCTGATCTCTCACCAATCGAGCACATGTGGGATGAGATGGATCGGCGCCTTCCACGTCAACCACGTATTTCACTCCAGGAACTTCGAAACATGCTCCAGCAGATATGGACAGATATCCCACAGGACTTTGTGCGACGCCTGGTCCATTCCATCAGACGAAGATGTGTTGCTTGCATCGCAACCAGAGGTGGACACACACTCTATTGATTTTTAAATTGGCATTTTGGAATGTTCATGGGTTTTTTAAGAAATCACGCAATTTAGATTTGGTAAAAAACATAACTTTGCATTAAATCTTACTCAATGTCACAGGAACTTGTGTTGTTCAGTATATAAATTAATTACACCGTTAATGTTTTAAGAGTATTCCTGGCCATAGCCCAGTCACATCATGAACAGGAATGTGACCAAGTATGAAGAGGTGTGGTTCCAGCTTGCGATGTCTCTCCTTTTCAGCGTGGGTATAAGTTAATCAGATATTCTGAAGATTAATGTTTTCTGATTTATTTAAAGAAACAAAATAGCATCCAGCAGAACATTAGAAATATTTTTGTTTAAAACTCCATATATATTTGTTTTCAGGACGCCTCAGCGTTATTTCTTGGAGGTCTCACAGTGGCAGTTGCCATAGAAACATGGGATCTTCACAAACGTATAGCAATCGGAGTGTTGATGTTGGTTGGAGCAGAACCGAAATGGTAGGAATATTTGTTAAAAAGGTAACCATGAGAGAGCGGTTGACGAAAACAATCTGATACGTCATGAGTGTGTGTTTCAGGTTGATGTCGTGCTTGATGGCGGTCACGTGGTTCCTATCCATGTGGATCTCCAACACCGCCACCACCGCCATGATGATTCCCATCTTGCAGGCAGTCCTGCAGCAACTGAAGACTTCCGGTCATGGCGACCAGGAAGGGCAATGTAAGGGTATTCAAATATACTCGCGTTTATTCGCAAGGGGCATTGTTTGCTGTGTGGGAACGTAGGACACCACATGTAAAAATATTCAGTAGATGCTGATTTTCAGCAAGCCGTGGCATTGCGTAAGCGTTATGTAGGATTAAACAACATTGTGTTAATAAGCACCTGATAGCTGAAGAATCATTGCGCGCTGTTCTCATTCACAAACCACGTGTGTGAGTATCATCCTCCCAACTAACACGCAAACATGCAAATTGTGCACCGAGCATAGCATAAACATGCAAATTGTGCACCGAGCATAGCATTAACATGCAAATTGTGAATCGTGCCCTGAAAGACGAAGAGATGTCTTCATACATGTAAATATGTATTAAAAAACTCAATATTTAATTTCAGAATAAATTTAGTTTTATGGAACCAATATGAAGCAGAATTATTTTTTTCCCGCCAGTATTTCAGCTTTATTTCTGGTACTTTATGTATAGTGCTTCTGCACTATGTAAGAATATTAATAATGCTGATTTTTTTAATGATATATTGTAATGAAATATAGTTCAACATACTTACCTGCATTCTGTTTTCATACATTTTTGCAGTGGTCAATTACTTTCATAAATGCTTCTTTGGTGTACCTTCTTTTGTTTACAGTATGTTTACAGTATGAGAAACTTTTATCTTCACAGGGGTGTACCCAGTCATTTGATTGTCGTTATTTATAAGCATCATTACCGCACAATGACATTCACGTTCAATTTTCTGCAGCTTCATCAACAGCAAATGGTTGCGCCAAACTCGAGATGACGCTCATCGGCGATGACGTGAAGAAGCCTGTCGAGGACCTGACGAAGGTGGACGTCAGTAACGACACAAAAGTTCAACCCTTAGGAGCAACACCAGAACAGCACCCCAGGTATGTGGGGTTGCGGTTGGGGTTGGGTAGGGACAGCACACCAGGTATGTGGGGTTGGGGTTGGGGTTGGGGTTGGGTAGGGTAGGGACAATACACCAGGTATGTAGGGTAACCACTGACACGCGTTTCAACTTCATCCAGTCTTCGCAATAGCCTGTAGTCAAATACCCAGAGCTACACTGGCAGCACAAGTCGCATTTGCTGTCATTCCAGTGATATAACAGCTTTTACTTTTCTCATTTTCATATTCCTAATGTTTGCAAGTCGTGTTCTGAGTGCGCATACGGATCTCCAACATCTTCTTACCCCGCTGGCGTGGATTATGATTTCAATCGCTGGAGTGTCTTCACAGTAACATTGACAAGACGTCTTTCCTATTGTTTGCTGCAAAGTTACGGAACAACCTGTTCTTTCTTACAACATATCACACATAGATTTTTCATTCAACGTGGCAATCGCGTTGTTGAACTGTGAATACATGTATGTAACTTTGCTACTGCAAATTGTGAATGTCAAACGTAAAAGGCACCTTGGAGAAAAATCGCAGTTTGAAAGAACATTTATATACTGTTTCAATAATAGCGTGCGTAAACCATCCAGGTCAGTTTTCTTTTATTCCCACTAAGGATGTGACGCCTCTGTGGTCTGATGGTAAAGTGTCCAGTCGGAGAGCGAAATGTAGGGGGCTCGATCTCCGGCCGCGTGATACGTTACAAGATGGTGGTACTTGTTGTTACCCTGCATAGCGCACGGCATAAAGGGGATAAAACAACGACTTGTCGACTCGGAGTCAGAATACCTTGTCTGACACACACACACACACACACACACACACTCTCTCTCTCTCTCTCTCTCTCTCTCACACACACACACACACACACACACACACACACACACACACGTGCATGCACTCCGCTTTATAAGTACAACGATTTTGAACATGATGTAAAACCCCATTTTTCCTTACCTCACCTCACCCAGTAGTTGTGTGATTTATTGTCCCTTGTTTACCAGGATGTGCTTGTAAACGACATCGGCATGCATCCCTTTTCTAAGGGGATGTTGGCCGATGCACTGATCTAAATACCTGCCATTGTTCCAGATCTGCCCGTGCCAAGGCAACACAGGAAGAAGAAGCTAAACACCTGCGCATGTGCAAAGCAATGTATCTGAGTATCTGTTATGCTGCGAATATTGGTGGCATCGCAAGTCTCACGGGAACTGGCCCAAATCTCGTGTTGAAGGGGCAGTCTGATATGTAAGTATACAAGATCAACTTATGGACCGTTCTATAATGACAGAGGTTTCCAGACATATATGTCTGATTGTATTAAACTGCCGGACAACAGACAGTATTGTCGTATACGCCCATGTTTGATGGTGGCTGAGTGAGTAAGTGAGTTTGGTTTAACGCCGCTTTTAACAATATTCCAGTTATATCGCGGCGTGTCAGCTTAATGTAGGAGGAAAGCCCGAAGTTATGCAGGTCTCAGACGTTTACCACTTCGGTGAAACCCACGAGCACGGGTATGGTGCTGACAAACCTAGAAACATAATCGGGGCGAATCGGGATTCGAACCCACAATTATAGGGTTCTGGCGTGCCCAAGGGACGCAATTCTGCACAGCGAATTGCGGTGCCTTAGACGACTGGGCCACCCGTGCCCCCGATGGTGGCTGAAACGTAATCAGACAAGTAATGGTTATTCGATGGTGATGTATTGGTAAGGCATACGGGTATCATAGTTGGGTTTTGGAACTTAAGTTTGCATTGTTTCGGAGGCTGTTTTCAGCATTGTTTTGACAACGTTTGTCATTTGTTTTGTCAAATCGTTTGGTATACATGTGCATACTTTCTTTTGCCGAGCATTCTATGTTATGTATTTTTACGTATTGAAACTGGATACCCACACATGGAATTTCATAAGTGGTCCACTGGTCTCTGGCATCGCAGCTCACCATACAGAGTTGTGTCCCTTAGTTCCCAGGATCAACTGGTCTTAGGTTTGACTCCTATATCTCTCTGAGGAATGGAGTCTATTAGTACCGTACATCTACCATAGTTGTCGTTTGTACGTTCCTCCAAAGTTAAACTTGTGTTCACTCACGCGGTCTCAAGGAATAACGACTGGAATCCTTAAATTTCAGAATTTTCGCCGACAACAACGCCACGTCTCCCATCACGTTTAGCACGTGGTTGGTGTACGGCGTCCCTCTCTCCCTCATCGTGCTCGTCCTTCTCTGGATCTGGATGCAGATCTATTTTCTCAGATGCAGGTACTGATGGCAGCACAACTGGTTCTAACTAACGTTGAACGACTTTTTAAGGGATACATATCATTGCCTGGTCATTGGATCAATGTGTACAAACAATGTTATTGTCTGCTCCTGTGGAGTAAGATGCGCTAGAAAGTTTACAGTAACAATACAATCTCATCCTGCCGGGTATCCATTAACGGCTGTGTGAAGAGAGGCATACTTTGAACTAAGTGTCTGCCAAAGACGACACACCATGTAACCTATATTTCAGTGTGAGGTAGAACCGGAGCTCTAGAAATCTTTAGGAGTTAAGCACGGGCCCCCGTCCACCTACATTGTACTCTAATGATTCTAACTTCCTCTGATTTGTGACATGTACTCTCTACACAGAACCAGCTGCCACAACTACCAACTTTTGTTTGTTTGTTTGTTTGTTGCTTAACGTTGTACTCAGCAATATTCCAGCTATATTAGGGCGGTCTGTAAATAATCGAATCTGGACCAGACAATCCAGTGATTGATATCACGCAATTGGGATACGATGACATTGGTCAACCAAGTCAGAGAGCCATATCACGCCATTTACGACAGGCATCGTCGCCTTTTACGGCAAGCATGGGTTGCTAAAGACCTGTTCAACACTGACCTTCACGAGTCCAACAACCAACTATCATTCAAAGCACGATAATCCAAACTCACGCACACATTTATTTCAGAGGTTTCTGTGACTGTTTCACTGGTGTTGCAAACAACGACGCCAGGAAGAGGGTTAAAGCTGTTATACGACACGAGTTCCGGAAACTTGGACCCGTCCCGTATGTTTACCTCGAACAATTCGCAAGTACTTGCACTATCAAGAAGACAGCATAGCAGCAGCAAGTCTAATTACAAAGGCGTCTCACACGTTCACATTGGATAATGTTTTCATGCCACACGACAGTCCAGTTGTGTTGTAACCATTCATATATTTCAAGAGATAGAAGGATCGTATGTTGTTACATCTATGTTCTTTTTACGTTTTCATTTATTTGCATTCCCATCATACTCAACCACGATAAACATGACCATAGTCAGGGACTACGGGTCTTCTGTAATATACAATGAACTATATTATATATGTGCAGATCAATTAATGACCTGTTAAGGTCGTGATATGGATTTTTATCATATTTTATTGACTTCAAATCAGTAATGCAACTTGCAGACAATCCAATACAAGATCAGTCTTATCCAATGAACCATACCATGTATTGACTGAAGGGGTTGCTATGTATACTTTCTGAGGAATGTTTCATAATCTTTCATCATTTCAGCAACATTACCACAGCCAAAAAGAAATAGGTTATATCATCTTCTGTTTCACAAACATCACGATCTGGTATTTTACTTATGTTGAGTTTAAAAAGCCTCATCTTACATAGACCAATGTTACGCATAATCTTAAACTGCAGTTCCTTCGGCTTATTGTAGTGAAAGATCTATAACAAAAGCATTTATCTTGTCTATCTGTGATGATTCTACAAACTTACAAGGCATAGAGATTCTCTTTTTAATTGAAATTCAATAAATATGTTTAGACTGGCTATGTTCATTTACGATCTGTCCCTGGAGCTGGTGTGGATGCATCCAACAAAAATACAATATCTCAATTCAATTAACTTCTCTTGATAATGGATGATTCTGTATGGCCATAATGTTAAAAGATATTGACTGAAAGGGCATCCTTGTCTGACACATCTGTTCAAAGGAAACCAATATATTGCTCTACTCTTGTTAATAACACAACACTAGTTTCATCATGTATGAAGGAAAAACATTCACACATTTTGACTCAAACATTTAGCTTTTTGAAACATTTCAGCATATAATGTCATTCTATGGAGTCGAAAGCCAAATTTTAGTGAATCAATCAAAGCAATATCTCAATCATACGATTCTAAAAGATCCAATAAAAAATGACATATTCTCACCAATATATATAAAGTTTACAAAACCTGTCTGGGCAGGGTGGATAAATTGGGAAGTACATTTTTAAATCTATTAGAAATAGCTTTTACTATTATTTTACAGTGTATATGAAGTAAAGTTATTAATCTACTTTCTCAATTTGGAGTGGAGTTTTGCCTGTTTATACAACAATGTTATTGACTATTCACGCTTGTGAGGTACTGTCATAATCTCTGTTTGAGATGTATACTGTAAATTCCGCATGAAAAGTATTTTAATATGGTCTAAGGACTGCTGATAGACCTCTGTTCATTAGTGTTATCTCTAATCCTCCATAGGAGTGTTACAGTCATCACACATGCGTTAATTCATTTCAAATATGAATAGTCGGAATGTTCATAATTCATTACAGACACAACTTGTAAAAACTCTGGATGATAGTTCGTGCATAGAGATTAGCATCGTTACCCAGTTTACTTTTCTTGCTTGTTCAGTTCAATTCGTGTTGTGCTAAATCAAACCACAAATGATTCTGAAAGTCTTTGGAGCATACACATTTACAAACAACTAACATCACAAACCTTCCTTTGTTATCTAGTGTTACCAGAAGTGACTTGGAGTTTTCTCCGCTTAATGAAAGCAGCTGTTCCATTGTTAGCTGATATCCAGTGACTAGATATGCTCTGCAAAAAAGCACCAAAGTGACGTTAGATGTATATATTATATATCATGTAAATAATCCACAGATGGCACACATGGAACGGTAGATTTTCAAGCTGCCGTAGTTGTGGTGGATCTTTCATATAAGTGTCGTAGCCGTATGAATCTGTCCTGTGCTCGAGTCGTGACACGATCACGTGTTGTGCCGTGTGTGAATAGGGTTCCACAGTCTTGTAATGGTGCTTGATGCAACGTGGAAATGCCTGGCTACAGCTGATGATGATGGGGTTGTTGCTTTGGGCTTCCGTCATTCGTGGAATGTTTTTGCTGTTTACTTGCTGTAACATAGTGATAGCACGGAAATATAAACCCAAAGGGTTTTTTTTTATAGCCCAACAAGAGCTGCTGCACGTGCATGTCATGTTGGTGTGTTTCATTCTTTCCACACAAATCAGCCCCAATCCATGCAGAAATGACCAATTCATCTCTATTATTATGTTTGTATGAACACCAGCAGCTACTTCATTTGCATTTCTTTCTTTTTTGCAGAGTATGTATTTGATTATTTCTCCCCCACTGCAATCTCCATTAAGGTTAACCTTTTATAACACCGCGAATCTCTTGCAACATATGAATGGCTTCAATTTCATTTCTGGGGGGCACGGGTGGCCCAGTCGTCTAAGGCGCCGCGATTCGCAGTGCAGAGTTGCGTCCCTTGGGCACGCCAGAAACCTATGATTGTGGGTTCGAATCCCGGTTTGCCCCGATTATGTTTCTAGGTTTGTCAGCACCATACCCGTGCTCGTGGGTTTCACCGAAGTGGTAAACGTCTGAGACCTGCATCACTTCTGGCTTTCCTCCTACATTAAGCTGACACGCCGTGATATAACTGGAATACTGTTAAAAGCGGCGTTAAACCCAACTCACTCACTCAATTTCATTTCTCGTTGCTACATGTGTTTTACGAGTCGTGTTTGTGAGAAGTAGTTTAATTACCCGTGTTGCGTTCCGGACCTACTGTTTCAGCGATGTGTGTAATAATTCTATTTGTACACCAGCTGAAGTACAGAAATCAACGTCGAACCCAACTCCCTCCTCATTCACTGAATGCTTACTCGCCCTTACTTTGGTTTCCAGATTCGCTCAGTGGTGTATTATGATCTTCTTCGGAATTCTCGTGGTGTTGTGGATCACGCGAGACTTCGGTGAGGTTGGCGGATGGGGAGAGATTTTCAGACCAAAGTAAGCTTCGAAGTTAACCTCAGGGGTCGAGGAGTTTGGTTTAAATATATTTTATTCACAAAAAGTGAATGGGATTGGGTACAAGTTCTCCGACTTAGGACTCCTTCCTGTGAAATGTCATGTTATATTCTAAAATGCCTCATGTCACTGTCATCTCACGTTTTCAGCTTCGTTTCGGATTCTTCTTCTTCTTCTCCTTCCTCTTCTTCTTCTTCGTCCTCTTCTTCTTCTAACATCCCAGCCAACACACGAAGTTGTCACAACGATGTGGAAAGGTTGTGGATTGGTAACGTACAGTTAAAAACAATTGGCGCGCATTTTTTGCGGCGTGAGAGCGGATGCTGAAAAGTTTAGCTTGTTGCCTCGTGAAGTGACGTCAGAATGACATCACATTATCGCGGAAGATTTGTTGTCACCAGCCACATTAGTTCAAGCTCACTCTGGACATATTACAACCAAGTGATTGTGCAGCAACTGGAACTGGACAGCTGATCTGTGAATTCGGATGAGGTAAGCTAATTTTTCAAATGCAGTCGCTTGTTGATATGATTCTGTACATGCAGACAGTCAAATGATTTAAATGTATCGTATTATTCAGAAGTGGCGGGGTTTAGAATGCAGTTTTCCGGTCACTTTCACTGAGCGTCAGTGTTGATATTTATATTTGATACACAGAACATTATGTTTATAGAGGTGAAGGAGGCCCAAGACTTTTTTCCATATTATTATTATTGTATGGATACCAAGAGTAATCACCAAGGGCAAGCAGTATATGTTTGACAAGAATTGAATCTGGTAGCGTTTTGTGGCCGTTATATTATGTTCGGGTTTCGATCGTAAGCGTACAGATCTGTACATAGGCCTAACGTATGCATCGCCTACTGACCACTAACAGTTATCGCCATTTCTTCCTTGTTATTTCTGAAATCATTACGATATAAAGTTTACTGTACATGTACTAATCTATTGACTTTGATTTTTGTGAAACAATGCGGTTCATTCAGGCCATGGGAAAGGTTGTGTAGATTCTTCTTGTACAGCAAAAAGAGGGTATCAAATCAATCGACTAACTGTAGGCTGCTAGTTTAAGCCCTAGTCTAAAGCGCTTAATGATGTTATGAAAAATTGTATTTTCGGGGAGAGACCGAAAGATACAATTTCCGAATTGGCCTAATTAGCACTGACTGAAGTAGCCTAACTGTGGATCATCTGGTTGTTGGTGTTGTATATAAAGTGTTATTGTAGCAAGGCGCTTATCATGTGTATTTTTATTATTTCCAAAAAAGAATCGATTCATCTTTTTTCCTATAACTAGATCTACGTCCGACTCCATCTAATGAAAACGAGCAAAGGTAAAACGAGTCTCTCGTCGCGCACTATAACGGGGTGTTTGCGGTGTTGTCCTCGCTGGTGATGATAAGCTAGTCGATAGTCAAAAGTTTAATATCACCATATATTGTAAGTGAGTTGGTCATCGTTTGTGGATTATTAAGGTGAGATAGGTGTAGCCAATGTGCACCAATGAAAAATACAATAATATTGATAGCAACCATATTCATTCGGTGTTCGATCTCCATATGTTGCCATATAGGCTACAATACTACAGAATTATATTTAACGATATTGAACTGTATTATGTTCATAATACGTAGTAACAAATAAATGTCATATGATCTATGTAAACAGCGCTGCGATGGGGATGTGAGTCGTAATTAGGTACAATGACTGTTTAATAATCTGTTCCCGTTTGGATTCCGGCTTAGAAAAGGTCCCCAATAAACCATGTTTGTACAAACATGATTGTGTGTCATTGTACTCGGACAGAGGTTTTGAGACGTGACTCACTATAACAATCACTGGTTTGCCTGACCGGTTTGTCAGACTGGTGTATATGGAAACCAAATGACATTAGGTGTTTTTTTATGATGGTACTCATAATTTTGTTACTTATATCTGTTGCCGGAGATATGTCCGATCGAACGTTATACATAGGGACTTTAGATTTAGTTTTTCCTAAATTTTAGACAATTATACAATATATACTCTCTCAAAAAAGAAACGCATATAAGAATTTTAACTTCAGATTTCTTTTTCTTTTGATACACTGTGGACAAGTTAATAGCAAATGGAATTCGAAGAAATTTTACACAGTAAATGTCAAGGTATCACTGTTTAATAAGATATCGGAAAAAGTCAGTTTATGAATCACACATCGACGTTTGATGGCGCTGAAGTCAGTACCTCGTATGACCACCAAATGCGTTCAGAACTGCGCGACATCGTCTCGGCATAGAACGAATTAGTCTCTGAATCTGATGTTGCTACGGTGTAGCCCACTCTGCCTGTAGTGCATGTGCTAGTTGCTGGAGTGTCTGGGGCTGTGGGTTAAGCTGTCGCACCCGTCTATCCAGGGCATCCCAAAGATGTTCTATTGGGTTTAAGTCTGGTGATCTGGAGGGCCAGGGCAGCACATTGATGTTCTCATTCTGGAGGAAGGCCCTCGTGACAAGTGCCGTATGAGGTCTGGCGTTATCCTGCTGAAATAGCTCCCTCTGGCGGTTGATAATGGGAAGGAGGTGTGGACGAAGGACTTGATCGCAGTAGCGTTGCGCTGTCAGGTTGCCTTGGATCAGTACAACTCACTTCTTCCAGTGTAGGATATGGTTCCCCACATCATCACGCTGCCCCTGCCGAATCTGTCCACTTGGGGGACACAGGCGTCGGCAAAACGTTCATGAGGTCGTCTGTACACCCGCATTCTTCCATCGCGTCGTTCCAACAGAAATCTCGATTCATCGCTGAACCAGAATCGACGCTAATGGAAAAAGACGGAGATCGATCTTTTATACCCATCCACGACATGATGTGATCCCCGAGTTTCCCGCGTTTGGATATGACGTTTTAAGACAAAAACACCAGAGAAATCATAAACAAAACAAATATTTTTGAAAAACCCACCCCGTACCAATACATTGCTGCATCAAATTACCATTTTCGTTTGCGTTTCTTTTTTGAGAGATTATATGATATCATTTTTGATAGACTATAGATCTAAATGTATGCTTATTGAAAAAGTTATATTTTGACTTTTTTTATGTTTTCGTTGCAGCAAGGGGGAAACGACCATTCCATAAGATAAAATGATGAATGTTGAATCATTGAGGAATACACCAAATAAACCCTGGGCTGTGAATTATGTTAACGTAAGTACATGTGTTTACAGTTACATTCTGTTGTCTATATCCATGTTAATTGGTGTTTTCTTTGCTTTAAATGAATGCTAAGAATGTACCACGTTTTGTATTCAACCTGATTCTTGATGTCTCAGAATGAATATTAAAATTTGCATAATACATTCTTGTTTGAATATTGATAAAGCCTTATCTCCAAATGAATGTTTCTCGTCATATAATATCTTTCAAATACCTGCTCGAGATTAATTAAGCTGTTTGTATTTCAGGGAAGTGGAAGTGTGGAAGTGAACACCAAAGAAAGAAGATTCTGGCATTCAAAAAATTCGAAAAGTGTATATCTAAACATATTAAAAAGTCAACACAAATGTGTTTTGGAGTTCTTTGTTGAATGGTGACGTCGCATGACTGAAAGTTGAAGTATACTACAGAGATTTGATTAGAGACCGACCATTCAATATTTTGGGGGACCTGGATATTTTCGGTGACAATATATTTTTTCGATAAAATTTCAGGCCCCGACCCACCCAAGGATATCAAATGGTCAACTCCTTACCACGTCTGCCATTCTTATTTTGTTTCCTGCAGTACAAGCCTAAAGGGTCATAGTGTCTGACTTTGTTATAGTCATATGTATCTAGTTAACAGCTCAGTGGTGTTTTTACATTTTGAACATTGTCAGCAAAACACGATCTAACTGTTAACTGGGCTATTCGACGCCCTGGTTTTATCTCGAATCATACACATTCACATGAATAAAGCATATTCAAAAACATTTCCGGAACATGTTTTTGGGTTGTTTTAAGAAAACATTTTAGTGGGGAATGGTCATGAGATAATGTTGTCACAACGTATTTCATCCTTGTAACACAAAGTTGTTTCACGTCGTTGTGACAACGTCCATGGTAGTACACAGAATACTGTTGTAGGTGGACGCATTATTATAACATTGCCACAACGTAAAATACAACATTACCACAACGTCAAATACAACGTTCCCTCAACGTAAAAATACAATGTCCCCACAACGTAAAATACAACGTTATCACAACGTGCTGACGACGTGAATATGACGTAACACAACGTTAGGCCATGACGTTGTGCCAACATAAATGGGAGTCCACAGATTAAGGTTATTTGGACGTAACATCCCCAACGTTACCACAACGTTGTCACAACGTGAAATTGTTAGCTGGGATGCTTAGCTCTGTGAAACTGTGGAGCTATTCGTGTATGATAAAGGTTTATACTTTTAAGCATGAGTATTGAACGGAAACGTCATGTTATATTCTAAAATACCTCATTATTCACCGTCATCTCACGTTTTCAGCTTCGTTTCGGATACTTCTTCTTCTTCTCCTTCTTCTTCTTCGTCCTCTTCTTCTTCTAACATGCTTAGCTCTATGAAACTGTTACGCTATTTGTGTATGATAATGGCTTATACTATTAAGCATGAGTATTGAACGGAAACGTCATGTTATATTCTTAAATGCCTCATGTCACTGTCATCTCACGTTTTCAGATTCGTTTCGGATTCAACACCTGCCATTTTCATCAGCCTTCTGTTGTTTGTGTGTCCTGCCACCGTCCCTAATGTGTTCTGCGTACGAATGCCTGGAGGTGAGAAGCTGTTGATCCTACACCGACAGTCCCTATGTCTCGGGTTATCAGTATATCTCGCTCACATCTCTTGACAAGCCACTATCTTGAACTTCCTACGGTGATTTCACATCATCAGTTCTGACCTGGGGACCCACCATTTATTATTCTGGGGGATGGCGAGGGAAGGGGAGAAGTGCCATGATTATTGCCAGAATACATTTCAGTCAAAACCATAATATAGTTCGTCTGTTAAGAAGAGCCAAACAATATTTTGGAGCTGAAATGACATTGTCTAACTTTCAGAAGATCCATCACGATTTTGTCCAGCGTTTCTAGGAACAAATTGTTTCCACAAACAATTCACAGACCCTTCGAAAACATCATTAATTTTTGTTTTCAATTAGGAATTCTTATTCACATTTCACGTTCAATGAAAAATGGTTTGGAGGTTAGTGAGTAATGAAGACATGTAGACGTGCTATTTCTCAGGGATGATAAGTAACACACAATAGTGACGTATAGTAGTAACAGTAGTAGTACTGGTAGTAGAGGTGTTTGTGTAGCTGTAGTAGCAGTGGTGTTAGTGGTAGTAGTTGTAGTAGTAGTAGTAGTAGTAGTGGTAGTAGTAATAGTAGAAGTAGTAGTAGTCGTAGTAGTAGTTGTGGTAGTAGTATTAGTGGTAGTGGTAGTAGTAGTGGTAGTAGTAGTAGTAGTAGTAGTAGTAGTAGCACCAGCAGCAGTACTTTCAATATTATTATTATTACTATTAAGAAAACATAATTGATATTTTATCTATATTGATATCGATGATATAAACGTAAAATTCCAGTATACCGTTTGCTTATATTTGCAGGACAATATACATTCACGCAATCAAACGCCTTGTGACACCAGTGTTCTGGGTTGTTTAGTAGGTCGATGAAATACTGTACACTTCATGTTCCATTCCTCAGATTTGACCAAACTAAAGATCCGGCCCATCCTCCGCTGGCAGGATGTCCATGAGAAGATGCCGTGGTCACTCTACCTCATCCTTGGGGCTGGTTACTCTCTGGCGAGAGCCTCCAAGGTAGACAACTTACAGTAGATCTCTACCTCATCCTTAGGACTGGTTAGTCTCTTGCGAGAGCATAACAGGTAAACCCGATGTAGTTGATCTCTACCTCATCCTGGGGATTGACTACTCCCTGGCAAGAGTCTCACGGGTAGGCAGCCTGTGGTAGACCACTACTTCATCTTGGGGGCTGGCTAAAGTCTGGCAAGAGCCTCACAGAAAAACAGCTTGTAGTAGATATCCACCTCATGCTACGGGCTGGCTACTCTTTGCGAGAGCCTCACAGAAAAACAGCTTGTAGTAGATATCCACCTCATGCTACGGTCTGGCTACTCTACGAGAGCCTCACAGTTAGGAAGCTTGTAGTAGATCTCTGCCTCATCCTTGAGACTAGGTCTTCTCTGGCGTGAGCCTCACAAATAAGAAAGATGCCTCTAGTTGATCATAGGATGAGCAGGACAAGCACATCCCTGGAAGTTACCATCGTTGACAATTACAACGACATATACCGGCTAGGGGAGTTACACGCCTGGACAATTATCACCAAGAGGAATTCTTGTTTCGACAACAAATATCTTCCTTGAAATGTCAGGACATATTACATGGAATAGAAAGTAATGGAAAAAATCGTTAATTACGAAATCTCGATTGCAGGACTCCGGACTTTCCGAGTGGCTGGGCGGGAAACTGGGGGTGTTTTCCCACATTGATCCCTACTTGATGTTGCTGATTCTCTGCTACATTGTTGCCTTTGCCACAGAGGTGACCAGCAACAGCGCCATCGCAACACTCATCATGCCAATCATGGCACAGCTGGTAAGTACCGTGCCCTTTTTTTATGGCCATTTTTCAGGCGGTTTTGGTGAAGGATGTCACCACTGTTTGAGAATTAGTTTACAGTAATTATAAAGAACTGATAATTCAAGGGGGGTCATCGGTTTAGGAATTCTCAAAGTACCCTTGTGTGTGATGCCTTTTTTATCTTTGTTCAAGAAGTTACAAGAAAACATCCATTTTGTCGTCTCAGGTGACACAATGTACAAATCGTTATTATATGAGAAATAATATTTAGAAATGTTAAGGAAAATAAGACAGTCAACACTTCATCAATACGATGATAAAACTACTAGGCAGGAACAAAATATTTAATGAATGGCCAACTCTTCTGGGAAATGTTACTATAGGAAAAAGAGGTAAAACAATGTACTATACATCAACGAAGAAAACGAAAAGACTTCCAAGAGAGAAAGAACTGTTTGCAGTAGCAAATCATCAGACAATGTTTCACAGCGTTTGGAAGGATAATGCACAGATGAAGAAACTGTAAAAGCATTGCGAACAGAGTTTCACCACAGAGTTTTTAAGGTTTTTTTCTGGAATGACCTTAGCATATATATAATGAAACATTCAATTAAATCATTTCCTGTCAAAATGAAAACCAACAAAAGATTATTTTTTATAAATTGGCGGCTAATATCTCTGCGAAAGTTTCTCACAAATTTGCATCAACTTTTATATCAAATGTGATGTAAAACAGTGACATTAATGAGGATCAGAAAGGTTTTGTGCCGGGCAGATGTATAGGACAAACAAGATTAATGTTTGATATGATAGACGACACTGATCTTATCAGATATTGGGTCTCCTGTTATTGATAGACGTTGAAAAGGGTCTTGACACAGTTGACGTTTTATTAAAAACGTACTACATTTTTTTCTTAAATTTCCGCCTAAGTATTTAAAAGGGGATAAAAGCCTGCTTTATTGATATACAATGCAGTGTTCTGGTACATTGATCTGGAAGCTCTTTCTTTAATTTGCTATCACAGGTTATCGCCAAAGAGACATAGTTTCACCATTGTTTATTTCGTATGCGCTGACATAATGGCCTTTAATGATAAGAGAGGATAAGAAGATACTGGGAAGGAAGATTTGCAGGCGACTCAACGCTAACATTAGATGGATTTGGAAAATGACCATGCAGTAATGAATACACTACATTGCTTTGCTAGATTTTCTGGACTTATTGTCAATACAGACAACACTAAAACTAGTTGGGGTTGGATCCAAAAGCAGATGCTGCTATAAACTATGCAATGAATGGAAGGTGGATTGGTTACAGACAAAAGTGAAATAATTAGACTTTGATATCTTACTCCAAGAAATGGTTAATTTATAGTTCAGATATAACGTTTTAAAATAAGAAAAAGAAATGAATTTTTTGGCCATTCGAACTTTGCCAGTAGGCAGAAGTGTAGTATTGCAATCTCTAAAATTGTTTCCACTTTGTATGGAATGGGAATTTTTTTTTTTAAATATGATAAGAAATTTCATTTTGTTATCCCTTAAATAGGAGGTACATGTATTAATGTACCGGTGATTAAACACAGAGTGCTCCACTCTGGCATCTTCATGGGCACACAATATTAACAAATTGTTTTTGACAGAGTCATCTTAGGTCACAAAGCATGTCATTCCTAATACTTCAAGCATATTTTAGAGTGATGTACTAAAAGCAAGGGCTCCATATCTGAATGAATGTTTTAAAAAGGCAAAAAATGATATGGAGCTAGCAAGTCAATCTCTTTGGCATAATGATGATATTAAACTAGGAGACAAACCAAACTGCTTTACAAAGTGGGCTTGGAAAGGTGTAATACTTATAAATGATCGATTTTAAGGAAACCGATGAGATATACAGGGATTTAGATTATAGGTTTTGGGAAATTAAAGAATAGTATGAGATTAATACTGATCTTATAACATTCCAAGGTATTAAAAATGCTATCAGAGAATGTTATTTGAAAAAGAAAATACAAAATTTTAGAAGGGTACACCCATGCCCAGTTCTACTATTTAATGTCTTTCACTTTAAAAAATAATATAAAGGGAAGCTGTATATTCTATCAGATATTATTCGATCTATGCTTTACAAGAACAAATACTCATATAAAGTGGGAAAAACTGTTTAAGAAACATTATGACAATAAATCTCTGGAAAATATTAATTTATTGCATATAAAGTAATAATCTAGGATGGTTTCAAAATAAAGTAATTCATAATATCCTTACAAGAAATAGCACTTTACACAATATTGGATATATAGACTCCAATATGCTCAATCTGCAAAGAAAAAAAATGAAACAATAACTCATGTTTTGTGAATGTGCTCATTCTGTAAGTATATGGAAGGTGCAATTTACAAAGAATAATATTGGATTTAAGAGAAAATGGAACAATACAGTAAATGTCATAACTTTAATCGAAAAACAAATTATTTACAGACATAGTATACGTAGAAATGATAAAGATCACATTTTAAGAAGAACCAAAGAGAAATACTTAAATACTACGGAACAGCTAAAGCCATTGCTTTTGTATAATTGTAACCCTGCACAGTACTTTACATCTGGTCATCAGTCCATACTCTATTTAATGATTCTAATGTTTAGCATGTCTGAGTTATAAATATCCTCTGTAAAAGGAAATATCATGATAAATTGACATACAGTAATATTTAACTTGTTTGATAGGCATTACTTAGAAGTTGGCGGATGACAAGATAGACACAATTTTATGGATAACAACTTCTTTAATACTGTAAAAAGCGACGTTTCGGTATAGATCCTTATACCGTTGTCAAGCAAGACTGAATGAGGGACATAGTGCAGAATATATATCGCAAGTGGAGGATTAACAGTAGAGGATTAACAGTAACAACAACAATATTTAATACTAACCTCAAAACAAGTGTCAACATACAAGGTATACTGGTATAATTGTTCATTTTAAATGAGCCATGTATTGTATTGTAATGTGTACTGCTTATATAGAAGAACTTTTATTACGATAATTTTATTTCCCATATCTGTAAGCATTGTTGAAATATACAATGCCTACAGATAAGAGAAATAATTTATCGTAAGAAAAATTATTCGGGAGATTTTTGGGCAGAATAGATTCACACGTCCACGGTTATCCAGGATATAATATCACAGTTCACTGAAGGTAAATAAATACCCTGGACCTCTACTAAAGCTTCGTTATGAGTCCCGTTGGAATGGCGCGAGGCCAAAAGTAGCCGTCCAATCAAATGACTCTCTTCAGCGATGGAAATTATTGTGCAGTTTGTGATGAGAGAGATGTAGAAAGTGACGTCTGTGGTGGCTGATGGGTCCAGGCGGTATATCATAATGAAATGGAGATAGAATACCCTGGAATATCGAGGACTCCCAGTACCCCATGCACACAGTAAGAGCAGTAAGAACTTAAAATGAGGACAACCCCATCCCTAATCCCCGGATAACATGTATGACCTTGGTGATTATTTAAACGTACTACGGCGTGGTTACCTCCCTTGTTGATTGTTCCTTATGCTATCAACCTCTGGTTTGTCTGGTGTTTACAGTCAGTTTTGAAACTGTATTATTATCGTCAGCCATACTCTGTACATCACTTGCTTGATAACGGTATTAGAACCTACACCAAAACGTCTCCCCTGTTCAGATAAATCTTATCCTTACTTTTATTATTGAGGATTGAGGATTGAAAGAAACAAGAAACTCGGAACCAAACGAAATTTCGGAGCCTCAAATACAAGGAACTTTGCATGTCCAGCCTTACTGAAAATATTGTGTCTTCTTTGTAGGCCGTCAACTTGAACGTCAATCCCCTGTTCTTCATGTTTCCTACGGCGCTAGCAACGTCTTTCGCCTTCATGTTGCCAGTAGCAACGCCGCCAAATGCAATAGTATTTTCGTCCGGACAAGTGCGGGTCATCGATATGGTACGTGACATCTTCAATAAACGACCTGTTTCAAAATGTCTTTCAGACCCTACTTAACTGCTTGTACAAACAATAGTGGTTTTTTGGCAAAATACTTTTTGCACTATTTCTGAATGTAAATGCATGTATACATGTACGACATATAAGATGTTTATGCCTGTATAAAGACTCCGTGGTGGTATACTTGACGGGCGTCTGTCCAGAGAGCGGAAGATGGTTGGAACCTCTGGCCTATTCATACTAGAATACGTTGAAGGATGGTACTTGTTGTTTCCCTGCCTGACACTCGACGTACAGGGGATGGGACAAGTGCTGGCCACTTAACATTTTTTTGTAAGACGCTGTTCGAACCTCCGACATCCGCCCACCGGGCAGACGCTCCATACACTACACCATGGAGGCAGTGAGACAGTTTGACTTCAATCGCAATGTATTCAGACAATTACTTTGCCACATTTGGACCGTTATTGTCAACAATGAATTGCGGTTACGTATAACGTATGTATTCCCCCTTTAACTTAGCTGTTGTATATCCAGGTGACATGTGGCTTCCTCATGAACATCATATCTGTCCCCGTCATCATCTTGGCGACAGCAACGTGGGGCAACGCCTTCTTCAACTTCGACACCCTCCCGCCCGGCTTCATCCAAGCGACCACGCCCTTGTCCCTCTCCAGCACGTCATCCCCTCTGCCGCACCTGCTGAACGCTACAGGCTGAGTCCGCCATGGTTCCTCTGTATTCACATTAAAGGGGGACTCTCGTACTTTTTCCAGCCCAGACGCTGCAATTAGTGACTTGTGTGAAACTGAGACATTGACTCTTTGTAATTCGGGTACACCATAAAATATGTGATCTCTCTGACGCATCTAAGATGCTGCCTGACCCGTTACCATAATAATAGATATATACGATCTACATGTATGGATATAAAATCATGATTATGGTAACGAGACAGACATGGCCAGGCAGCATCTCGGGGGCGTAAGAGGGCAAACCTGCCTAGCCGCTGTCCGAGGGTCTAGGCTCGACCAACAGAACACATTCTAACTTTAACCAGTCAAATCACTGACCAGCTGCCACGTATCGAATACCATACCGCTTTGGTCAACCTGCAGCATCCCGCACCTCATCGACGATGTTAGGCTTCTGTGGCCTACCGGCCATTCTCCAGTGTTAATTAGAAGCCAGTGACCCGCACATGACTCTGTGCTGCTGGCCATTGTAATAATCGTCCAGCTGCCGTTATAATTTGTATTGGGCAGCCTTGTGAATACTGAAATGGATATATTTCACTTACTTAGGGCCCGGTTCACAAAACTATTTTAGCACGAAGATTGATAGATTTAATCCTTTACTTTAACTTAGACTTACCATAGTTGTAGAGCTAAGGTCGTCTTCAGAATCTACTAAATGACATCGCGTAATTTAAATATGTCTGTTATTTGTCACCGCGTTGCAGAAGATGAGTAATGACAGAGGCAGTTTTACGTGAGATCATAGTTCATAGTTTAAGAGATATTCACACGGCAGTTTAGATGATTTATTTATACACCAGTTTCAATTATATATTTACACATCAGTGTATATGAAATATTCACGGGTTGGTTTCAATGAGATATTGACATGCCAGTTTCAATGAGATATTCACATGGTAGTTTAAATGAAATATTTGTATGGCAGTTTAAATGAGATATTCACACACCAGTTTCAATGAGATATTCACACACCAGTTTCAATGAGATATTCACACACCAGTTTCAATGAGATATTCGCATGGCAGTTTAAATGAGATATTCACACACCAGTTTCAATGAGATGTTCACACACCAGTTTCAATGAGATATTCGCATGGCAGTTTCAATCAGATAATCACACGCCAGTTTCAATGAGATATTCGCACATCAGTTTCAATGAGATATTCACACATCAGTTTCAATGAGATATTCACATAAAAGTTTCAATGATATATTCACACATCAGTTTCAATGAGCTATTCGCACATCAGTTTCAATGAGATATTCACATGGCAGTTTCAATGAGATATTCGCACATGTGTTTCAATGAGATATTCGCACATGAGTTTCAATGAGATATTCACACGTCAGTTTCAATAAGATAATTGTTTCAATGTGACGTTTATTTTAATTTCTATACTTCAATTGTTTCCAACTATTGTTGTGTGTCGATTCCCAAATTGAGACAATAAAATGTTTATCCAATAATTTTGATAAATAATTTGTGATATATTAAATTTATAATCCGGTCGAGCCCCAAATTTCTGTCACGTGTCGATTCCCAAATTGAAATAATACGTTAACCCAGAAATATGTACGTAAAAGTACAAACAACCTACAAATGGTTTACAATTAGCAAATATATTACAAAATTAAGTAGGTTTACAAATCAATACAAAATAACTGCACAGCAATTACAATGGCATTACACAATACAATGAAAGGACAATATTCAATGGCAATATATAATATGATCGCAGTGGTCAGTATCAACTACAAGAATACAGTGGTGATAGCAAATGTTAGTGATAATAATATATATTCAGCCAGTGGTGATGGTAGTCAAGCTTCCGAGATGGCCAATGCAGGGAATCAGGGATGTTGAATGATCCTCACAGGAACGCTGGTTGATGTGATGAAATGCGTGAGAGATGCCTAAACACGCTCTTGTCCCACTATATATACAGTCTAAATAGCTACTGGAATTGTTTACACAGTGCCATTACCAGTCTAGATGCACTAGAACATCACAGAATATTTCACCTAAGTCTACGGTATACTTGACGTTAACACACCACACTAGTATCTAAATATAGTAAGTTCCTGACGACTGCTTACTTTAGATAGTACTACATTCCTGACCACTAATCACTGTCCAAATACAATGCAATGAGCGTCTACCGAATCTAGATAGAAAGAATGTAACACAGTTACTATCATTGTTCAACATGTTATGTAACACTCGGAGAAAGAAAGTTTGAACGAAGTGAGCACTTTCTTTGCAAATAAATGTACAACAACTAATAAACATTATACCTGATATTATGAGAAATGATCACAAAAATGCTCATCATGATTGCAGTCAGAACAGATCACATTCAACCAACTCGAAAAAATGCGTCAGCAATAAGATTGTCTTTGCCTTTGATACGCTTGATTTCTAAATAAAATTCTTGCAAAGACTGGCTCCAGCGCATTAGGTGTTGTTTTTTGTTCTTCTAGTGGATTATGATCTGTCTACAGAAATATTCCTAGGGGTAGGAAACAAAGTAGTGCCCAAATACCCTTGTTGCAAAGCTAACAATAAGGCAAGAGTTTCTTTTTCAATGGTGGAATAATTTCTCTGATGTTTGTCAAATTCGGGCGAATAATAACCAACAGGATGATCAAGACCCGATGCCTCTTCCTGTAATTGGACAACTCCAGCACCAATGTCACCAGCATCTACTGCCAGCGTGACAGAACGTTCAAAGTTTGGTGCTTAGATAACAGAATTCATAAGAATGGCTTTAATTTTCACAAAAGCAGCCTGACAATTGCTGTCCTAAACAAATTTCCCCTTTTTGCCCAGCACATTGTTGAGAGGGGCTGCAACATGTGATAAATGTTGACACAATTTACGGTTGTAACCAGCCATACCCAGAAATCTCCTAAGTTCCTTTCTGTTTCGTGAAACTTTATATCTTCACATAGCTTCCACCTTTGCTTATATCAGCTGTACCTGACCTTGGCCTATGACATGCCTTCAAAATTGTACATGGGCGTGTGCAAATTCACTTTAAACTAAATTTACAGTCAATTTGGCTTCAGTAAGTCTCTCGTAGAAGGATCCCTTGTAATGTCATTGATGCCCCGCTGGAAGGTGGCTGGACCGTTCTTGAGCCCAACATTCTTGGCATCACTTTATATTCGTAAAGTCCATTTTGAGTCACAAAAGCTGTACGCCCTTGACATGCTCAGTCAGTGGAATCGGCAAATACCCATTCAATAGGTCATTCTTTCTGACGTACATGGCTTGACCTATTCTGTCAAAGCAGTCAGTCATTGGTTCTTGGTATTGGGTAAGAATCAGTTTTAGAAACAGCGTTCACACGTCTCATGCCAGTACAACATATGTAACTACCATCAGGCTTCGGCACAAGTATTCAAGGTGAGCTCCAGTCACACGGACTTGGTTCAGTAATGTCCAGAAGGTGACGAATCTCCTGCTTCAGATTGATTGGATTCATTTGGTAGAGATTTAGCTTTACGGGCACAACGTCATCCACATCTACATCGTGACACACTAAATCTGTACGACAATGGCACAAGTGAGCAACCCTTGAATTAACTCTGATATTACAGCCTTTTGCTCAGATGACAAACGACTTAACTTAGCATCCAAGTTGGATAAAACTTAAGAATTGTTTAGCTTAGGGCTAACATAATCAGCAACGCCATCAAACTTGAAAGAGTCAAAATTATTACCTGTATCGCAGTCGGATACAACATCCATGGGTGAAACTCACTGAGTATGTACATTGTCATTTCTGACATGATACTATCTAATCACGTGACATGACAAAACTGTGTCTGTTTACAACGGCCTGGTGTTTGTACAACATCGTCAGTATCGCTGACTTTTCTGTCGATAACATACGGACCGTGGTATCTAGCACGTAATGGTCGACCAGGGATTGACAAAAACACTATGACTTTAATGCCAGGATTGTAATTTCTCTCTTGAGACTTTTTGTCATAATGTACTTTCTTTTTGTCCTGAGACTTCTTCAAGTTATCCCCAGCAACTTCACAAGCTCTTGGAAGCCTTGCCCGAAATGATGAGACATACTCCAGCAAACTCATTTCAGACCTATCATAAAGCCAGTGCCCCTTCAAGTGTTTTAAAGGTCTACGAACAGTATGGCCAAAGACATGGTCAAGATGGCTAACACCTAGAGACCAATCTTAAGTTACTAAGATCGATGAAGTTTCCGAATAAACTGATCAAAATGGCTTCCAAGACAGGCAGACAACTTTAGACAGGAGTCGAGTTTAAGCTATTCGTACCTCCATCATTGAAGATCGCGATCTTAAATACAAGCCGTCTTACAATTGCACTAAGATCGGTTTGTGCAAGTGGAAAAGAACACTAGTATGGCTCTTGTAAAGTTGTATTGTAGGCGCCTAAGATCAACTGTAACAAAGACTGGTTTGTGCATGTGGACCCTGAACCCTCACAGCAAACAACAACATATCAAAGCCTTCATCCCAATCCTTCTCAGTAAGTCTTCATCATATTCTTAAGAGTCAGATGAAACTTCTCTAAAGCTCCTTTATCTGAGTTATGCCTTACTGCTGCACAGCCTGTTGTAAAACACCTAGAAATGAAATTCGAGCCCTGGGTGCCGTTGTACAAAGCGATCTTAGCGCTCAGGTGGCCACGACCCCCCTACTTTAACATAGGCTTACGATCATTGCAGCCACTTTAGATTCTACTCTTAGGCCCAGGGTGTATATCATAATGAAATGGAGAAAGAATACCCTGGACAGTCGAGGATGAGACTCCCAGGACTCCATGCATGAAGTAAGAGCCGATTTGTAAGTCGGAATACCCTAACCCTAACCCAAATATTTAGTACTACGACGAAGCTACCTCTGGTTTGACTGGTGTTTACAGTCTTGTTTATAGTTTAGATACAGTATTATTTGGGATTTAGGATTGAAAGAACCTCCTTAAAACTTCATACCAAACGAGAGTTAACGGAGCCTCACACAGTAGGAATTGTTTAATAGTCAAATCTATTGTTGTGGGCATTGCACGGTGTCATAGAGGGAATCCACACAAATATACCTGAGTCAACTGAGCAAATTGAAACTCAGTGACAAGTCAGTGAAATAAGTAGGGGTTCACAACCCCTGGACAATGGACAAACCTGAGGAACGTGTCGTGTTCAAGTACTTGCAGACTGATATTTGGACTCGCATAGTGTCCACGACAAAATATTTCACTATTACACTATGCCTTCTATGTAAAGCTCAACACTTGTCAATCAACCCTCGTAGAAAAAGGGATGTGTATGCCTTTCATTTGATTTCTCTTCTTGAGCTGTGCTTTTCATTGATTCAGCTGTATAACATTAAACATCGCCAGTCCTGTACACACAGATATGACTGCGGCTTCCCTGCTTGCAATACACATCGATTTTTAATAAACGTGTAGATTTGAAATAGATAGCATGTCTTTGCCAGATGGCACACGTCATTTTGAACACTCGTGTGTGCTGTTCGTGTGGTATTCGACAAGGAGCCATTCGCTAGCCTACGCATTCTTAAAAATAAAATACACAACCTTTTCCTCATACTGCCGATGTCCTACTATTCTAAAACTGACAATGTCGAGAAACCATATACTCTGTAAGTAATCTGTCTATCTGATTGATCTGATTGAGTGAGTGAGTTTGGCTTTACTCCGTTTTTAGCAATACTGCAGCAATATCACGGCGAGGGACACCAGAAATGGGCTTCACACATCGTACCCATGTGGAGAATCGAACCCGGGCCTTCAGCGTGACGAGCGAACACTTTAACCACCAGGCTACCACACCGCCCCTACTGTAGTACGATGACACCACCAAGTCCACCACGCCATACCATTCGGTCCATACAATCGACAAGGACAAAATCTGTTGCTAGGGAACAATTCTTTCCCCGGATCCCAACCGGGGAGTTATAAACGTCCACTGACACAATGAGTTAGGGATTCATCATTCCATATTCTGTCGAAGAGGCGGGGGGAGGGAGGGGGGATATTATGTTTTAAGAGTTATAAAATAATCTGTTCAATAGCACAATGAAAAAGATTACTTTGATTCCGGTTTTGCCAAAATAAAATCTCTCAATTTCCCATAAAGATGATGGTTTGGCTCCTTCTTTGATGTACAGAAGTGTGATTGTCCTGCAGCATTGAAGGAATCATAATTCTGTCTCAAACAAACAAACCAGTAAGAATCGACTCATGAGGATTTGATGCTTACAATGTATGTCATCGTGCCCCAACACCATGGATCGTTGCTCATGTTGTCGACCACTGCTTTGCGAGACTCAATTATTAACAGTCCGTCGGGAACAAACTAGAAAATGTCTGCGGCATTAAACAATTTTCACTCACCAAAATGAATCATCATGTACATTTTTTAGTTGTGTATGCACACACGTCTAAACTACGCGACGATCGTGTTTCCAACTTATAGGCGATGGTCGAAGGTCGATAGAGGGGATTATGTTCAAATACGCACGCAGAGCATGAGCGAAATAGGACCGCATCTGCGCATGCATCAGCCGTTCTGACACGAGTACCATACATGCCAAACGCGTGGTTGCAGCAGAAGCGGCGATAAAACTACAATTGACTGATATACACTGATCAATTCTCCTTTCTTCTTCTGGGATGGATTGTTTACGCCCAGTGAATGGGATCGACAGATTGTGGTGTTTCTCGTCTGTGTTTGCAAGCAGTCTTGTTTATTTGGAAATAACTAGGTTCGAAGAGAAGAATCAATAGATGAGGCATACAAAACGTTAATTAATCTTGATTCAGGAGTAGACAGAACTGGGCAAGTACTGTTCGACTTCGTCTGCTTAGTGCAGGTCTTGGGAGGGGCGATCGGGTAGCTTAGTGGTTAAAGCGTTCGCTCGTCACGCCGAAGAGCCGGGTTCGATTCCCATCATGGGTACAATGTGTGAAGCCCATTTCCCCCGCCGTGATATTGCTGGAATATTGCTAAAAGCAGCGTAAAACCATACTCACTCACTCACTCAGGTCTTAGGTATGCTTGGTTCTACCACGAGGTTTTCTTAACCTTTTTCAAGACCGCCTCCGTGGTCTTGTGGTAGAGCGTCCGCCCGGAGAGCGGAAGGTCCAGGGTTCGATCCCGGGCCGCGTCATACAAAAAGACGTTAAAAGATTGTACTTGTTGTTACCCTGTCTGGCGCTCGGCATTAAGGGGCTAAAACAAGGACTGGTCGGCTCGGAGTCAGTATACTGTGTCTGAGTGGGGTATTCATGTTAAAACTGCGGCATGGTATCTCAGTGAGCTAGCACTATAAATCGGCATCAGTCCGGACTAGTACAAGCAGCCACACACACACATACACGTGCATGCACGTCGCTATATAAGTGCAATAATCTTGGACGCGACGTTAAACCCAATTTCACCTCACCTAACCTTTTTCAAGCCCGTTTGAAAGTCATGTAGAGCCAAGAATTGAGCTCTATTTTATCATCTTGCACTAGATATGAATATTATACACTTTTTAAGATAAGCCTAGAAGCAGAGAAATATTTAATCAATTCGAGCTTGTGTACATTTGCTACCGATGTTAATCGTGTTGGATGTTCTGGTGTGAGGCTTAAAAGTGATACCGGGAGACACCATTAAATTCCAAAATCTTAAAGATTATCTACACATTGTAATCTAAACAATATCGAAGAGCTGTATCATTTCGCCTGATGTTCATCCTTAAAAAGTTCATCCTTGAAAAATATTCGAAAGCAATGCATACCAAATAAATATGTTATTTACAGACCGCCGTTATATAGCTGGAATATTGCTGAGTGTGGCGTTAAACACAAACAAACAAACACGACTTGGATCGTTTTCAAAGGAATTGCTCGATTTTGATAGAAACACACACGCGTGGCCAAACACCGTTACATTAAGTTCTCTTTGTAGATCTGTCATTTTAAAAACAGCAAAGAATCAAAATAATATTCGTTTGATAAATGCCAAGAATGTAAAAACATTTTGTTTCATAAAATGTTTTTCAACATTCAATTTTTTAAAGCAGCGAGAGAATTGATGTCGCAGTGCCTATAATATCACAGTTTTAGAGGAGTAAGTTTTTATTGTAGCCAGGGGTAATCTTTAGGTGACAAACCTTTAATGCTTTAAAAGTGTGCGTATTTCTGGAATATTATATTCTCTTGGGTCGCTCATGAAGATTTCCATCCGCTTTGTTTTGAAATCCCAAATGTAAACGCTACCGTTAACAAATACATGCGTCCTTACCGGCACCAGGTGTCCCGAGAGATGGGTTCGATGCCTGGCCCGCCATAGCTCGTGAATGTAGGGCACCTGTGCTGATGATATGACCAGCTGACACTCCGACGTATTGAAACACTGTATCACCTCCCGCCTCGACCTGTTGCTGTATCTCTTGTCTTCGAGATGCAATCGTGTCACATTTCCGACAAGGTCCGGGAGCAGCCCGAATAGATAGATGTCGTCAATCCACAAGAATGGCGCCATGAGGGCGGCTTTGTATAACCTAGGGACAAGAGCACCGGATATGACAACAGCATATCCGCTGCATGAGTCCCACGGATATGCGTCATACCGTCTCATGAGATGCTTGGACACTCTCCATCGGCTACGTCGTTCAACCAGCAGAGACCACGCTGGCCAGCTATGACACATAATCATATTCTTTTGCCTCTGTGTGTAAAAATTAGCGAAAAAATTGAAAGTATCTACATAAACGTCATCATCAATTTTAATGACGTAGTCCACATTTTTGCAATGTTGGGTAATCCATTTGAATCCCATGACGCCTTTGTACGTGAGATTAGTATAAGCGTCAATGAAGTTTCCCTGGATTATATCCCCGAAAAGTCGGTGTTCTATATCTATTGCTGTTTGTATGTTGAGTTTATTAGGTCGACGTTGTACCCCAAGCAGAAATATCACCCTCACTGAATGCGTCTGATGATGGGAGCTGTTGGCATACGTTGCCCTGATGGCCTGTCTTTGCGCGGTGTGCGATGGCGCCGTGTGGACCATAAATAACACTGAGACAGAGTCCAAGCCATGACAAATGGTCTTATTTTCCAACAATATTGTGACGTTAAGATCTGCAGCGTGCCTCTTGTGTAGCGGTGCGCTATCGTCACGGGCAGGTACAGGCATTCGGACGACAAATCGGGTTACATCTTGGTGTCTCGTCCAAGACATCACAACAAATGTTAGAAAGCAGACAATGACAAGTTGGTAAAGCGCCATGATGTAGAACCACTTTAGTGGCGATTTGCATCGTGATGTCATCGTCGACGTTTGATGTAGAACTTGTGTGGTACTGATCTGTCTTCTCACAACGTTCAGCAATATGAGATGGACATTGAATTCTCCACTGTGACGTATCTCACAGTGAGATCAGTGGGTCTTCCTACGATGTCTCTTCTCTCAACAAGATCACTACTCTCAACGATGTCGATACTCTCAACGATGTCACTACTCTCAACGATGTCGCTACTCTCAACGATGTCGATACTCTCAACGATGTCGCTACTCTCAACGATGTCGCTACTCTCAACGATGTCACTACTATCAACGGTGTCACTACTCTCAACGATGTCAATCGCAGCTCACAGTGACATCGGCGGTTCTTCCCGCGATGCCTCTTCTCTCAAAAAGGTCACTACTCTCAACGATGTCACTACTCTCAACGGTGTCACTACTCTCAACGATGTCAATCGCAGCTCACAGTGACATCAGCGGTTCTTCCCGCGATGTCTCTTCTCTCAAAAAGGTCATTACTCTCAGCGATGTCGCTACTCTCAACGATGTCACTACGCTCAACGGTGTCAATCGCAACTCACAGTTAACATTTCTTCAAGACTGCATCTTCTCTTTTCTCACAATGTAACTACTCTCAACGACGTCAATCGCAGCTCACTGTTAACATTTCATCAATCAAGATTGCCTTCTCTTAACCACATTGTCACAACTGTCTCAGCACATCATATCATCCAGATTGTGATCTCAATAGTACTACCACGTCATTACTCTCAACCGTCGTCCCTGCACAATGTAAACACGTGACAGTATGGATCTTACAACGCCCATCTCATGTCCGTGCGCTCCGTGTGATGTGGGCAGCGACGGCAGCAGCTGTACGGGAAGACTAGAATGGCTGTTGAATGTTACACAAATGCCACTGTGCAGGATGTTTAGGAAGATGAGGCATTGACTGATACACACCTGACTCATGGTCGATGTCTGAGCTGTGATGTGGCAACACGATCTCCGCACCGTGGGATGTACATACAATTAATGTGTGTTATAAACGTTCCATACCTACGCAGCACCATGAGAATCAGGTTAGTCCGAAATTATCGTCGTGTAATTCCAGTTTCGTCGTTGAATCAAAGCTAGAGTAGTCAGCGTAAGTTTTGTTTGTTTGTTTGTTGTTTAACGCCGCACTCAGTAATATTTCAGCTATATGACGACGGTCTGTACATAATCGAGTCTGGACCAGACAATCCAGTGATTGACATCATGAGCATCGATCCACGCAATCGGGATACAATGACAGCACCATACCCGTGCTCGAGTGTTTCACCGAAGTGGTAAACGTCTGAGGCCTGCATCACTTCGGGCTTTCCTCCCACATTAAGATGACACTCCGCGTTATAACTATATAATACTGTTATATCGCAACGTTAAACCCAACTCACTCACTCACATTCACCAACTGTAAACACAACTGTTGCAGAGATAATTCGTCCACTAATGACAGTGGGACATCTTCAGTATAAAGTCATGAGCTCACCATAATTCCATCTACGTCATTACATAGTTAAGGCCCTTGTTTTCTTTAGATCGTTAATGTAAACAGAAAACAATGTTGGAGACAATACACATCCCTGTCTAACGCCGACATTTACACCAAACACATCAGAATATGGATCATTGACATGTACTCTCGCCGTTGAATTTTCACCCATGGTTTAAATCGCGTAGAAAAAAACTTTTCATTAATTCCGATTTGTGATTTATAACATTAACAGGGCCGTTTACTTTGTCGAGAGCCTTCAAAGCATCTATGAAGCATACATAAGTTGATTTCTTCAATAATTTTCTATTATTGATGGCGGAATATAAACTGTAGATATACTAGGTGAGGTGAGGTGAAATTGGGTTTAACGTCGCGTCCAAGATTATTGCACTTATATAGCGACGTGCATGCACGTGTGTGTGTGTGTGTGGCTGCTTGTACTAGTCCGGACTGATGCCGATTTATAGTGCTAGCTCACTGAGATACCATGCCGCAGTTTAACATGAATACCCCACTCAGACACAGTATACTGACTCCGAGCCGAACAGTCCTTGTTTTAGCCCCTTAATGTCGAGCGCCAGACAGGGTAACAACAAGTACCATCTTTTAACGTCTTTTGGTATGACGCGGCCGGGGATCGAACCCCGGACCTTCCGCTCTCCGGGCGGACGCTCTACCGTAGATATACTAGTGGCTACTGCGTGTAGGGCGGAAACCGTTCTGTTTCTTGTTTTGTGCTTGTCGCCATCATCTTCATTTTACATGAGGGATTTTGAATACATCTTCCACGGAACTGAGAGTAGAGAAATACCTCTGTATCCTAACGAGTCACGTGGTCTGGTTTCTTGGTGTGATACAGTAAACTACGTTTATTACGAACTGACCGATATAACGAACTTATTTTTTAGTCCCGGCCATTTGTTATATAAATATGCTTATATATATATGCTTATAACGAACTACGGTTATTAGAAACTAAAATTAGTGGTCCCTTTGAGTTCGTTATAACCGTAGTTTACTGTGTATACAACTAGTATCCAACATACACGGATATTTATTATAATAAAAGCAAAATATAAACAGTCTTAATAAAAATTGAATGAAAGCTTTATTCTGTCGCGTCCAAGATTATTGCACGTATTTAGCGACGTGCGTGTGTGTGTGTGTGTGTGTGTGTGTGTGTGTGTGTGTGTGTGTGTGTGTGTGCTTGTTCCAGACCGGACTGATGTCGATTATTTATAGTGCTATCCCACTGCCATCGTTGCATTATCTGAACATTCGCCCCAAAACTTCAACGCTCTGTAGGCCTGACATTACTGCGAAAATTGTGCAGTCCGTACAACCCCACAGAAATGGTAAACATGATTTTTGGACGCTACACAAAATGTACGTGCAAACTAAAAAGTAGACAACCGTTTGATACGTCAAATACACAAATCACCCAAGAGAAATGCCACGTTTATCTCTGGAAGAGTGCGAGAGAGCCATTGGTATGGCGAGAATGGGAGCGTCACAGTCCCATATTGCAAGCACCTTCGGCTGTTCCAGACGCACGATGTGTGCACTTTGTTACCGGTTGACAGGTAGAACACGTGACAGGCCTAGAACAGGAATACCGCGGGTTAGAACCCAACAGGAAGTCCGCCACATCCGTACCATACTCCTCCGCAGTACGCCCGTGACCGCGACGTCACCAGCAGCAACAGCACCTGGACACCGTATCAGCACACCCGCAAGTTCGTTGGTCATTTTATAAATCTGCTGATGGCTCGGCAGGTCAGGCTAGGAGAGTTGGTTGATGGCATCGTGCCCCTGAATCGTAATCATATCATTAGAGAATTAAGTTTATATCCATTTGATTCAAGCTTGACGTGTTGTTATGGATGAATGCTTTAGCCACATATCGTTGGCATATATAAAAGGAGATATTATTATTTATTTTTCAATGTAAAAATGATCGTTTCCGTTCATGTCTATGACGTTATCGAAGTGATAGCTGCACCTATCGCATTTCTGAAGCTAGATTAAATCATATAGGTTTTAAACATATCCAACTCAGGACGTTACATGACCTCACCACGTCACACCAGGGCATAACATGACCTCACCACGTCACATCAGGGCATAACATGGCCTCATCACGTCACATCAGGGCATAACATCACCTCACCACGTCACATCAGGGCATAACATGGCCTCATCACGTCACATCAGGGCATAACATCACCTCACCACTTCACATCAGGGCATAACATGGCCTCACCACGTCACATCAGGGCATAACATGGCCTCACCACGTCACATCAAGGCTTTACATGACCTCACCACGTCACATCAGGGCATAACATGACCTCACCACGTCACATCAGGGCATAACATGGCCTCATCACGTCACATCAGGGCATAACATCACCTCACCACGTCACATCAGGGCATAACATGGCCTCATCACGTCACATCAGGGCATAACATCACCTCATCACGTCACGTCAGGGCATAACATGACCTCACCACGTCACATCAGGGCATAACATGGCCTCACCACGTCAAATGAAGGCTTTACATGACCTCACCACGTCACATCAGGACGTTACATCACCTCACCACGTCACATAAGGACGTTACATTACCTCACCACGTCACATCAGGACGTTACATGACTTCACCACGTCACATCAGGACGTTAAGTAACCTCTCCTCGTCACATCAAGGCATTACATGACCTCACCGCGTCACATCAGGACGTTACGTCATCTCTCCACGTCACATCAGGGCATTACATGACCTCACCACGTCACTTCGGGACGTTAAGTAACCTCTCCTCGTCACATCAAGGCATTACATGACCTCACCGCGTCACATCAGGACGTTACGTCAGCTCTCCACGTCACATCAGGGCATAACATCACCTCACCACGTCACACCAGGGCGTTACATGACAACACCACGTCACATCAGGGCATAACATGACCTCACCACGTCACACAAGGGCGTTACATGACCTCACCACGTCACATCAGGGCATAACATGACCTCACAACGTCACTCCAGGGCGTAACATGATCTCACCACGTCACATCAGGACGTTACATGACCTCACCACGTCACATCAGGGCATAACATGACCTCACCACGTCACATCAGGACGTTACATGACCTCACCACGTCACATCAGGGCATAACATGACCTCACCACGTCAGATCAGGACGTTACATGACCTAACCACGTCACATCAGGACGTCACATGACCTCGTCACGTCACATTAAGACGTTATATGACCTCAACACGTCACATCAAGGCATCGAATGACCTCACCACGTCACAGCAGGGCATAACATGACCTCACCACGTCACACAAGGGCGTTACATGACCTCACCACGTCATATCAGGACGTTACATGACGTCTCCACTCCACATCAGGACGTCACATGACCTCACCACGTCACATCAGGGCGTTATATGACCTCACCACGTCACATCAGGACGTTACATGACCTCACCACGTCACATCCAGGCACATTACATGACCTCACCACGTCACATCAAGGCATAACATGACATCACCATGTCACACCAGGGCATAACATGACCTCACCACGTCACATTAGGGCGTTATATGACCTCACCACGTCACACCAGGGCGTTACATGACCTCACACGTCACATCAGGACGTCACATGACCTCACCACATCACATCAAGGCGTTACATGACCTCACCACGTCACATCAAGGCATCGAATGACATCACCACGTCACATCAGGGCATAACATCACCTCACCACGTCACACAAGGGCGTTACATGACCTCACCACGTCACATCAGGACGTTACATGACGTCTCCACGTCACATCAGGACGTCGCATGACCTCACAACGTCACATCAGGGCGTTATATGACCTCACCTCGTCACATCAGGACGTTACATGACCTCAACACGTCACATCCAGGCACATTACATGACCTCAACACGTCACACCAGGGCGTGACATGACCTCACCACGTCACATCAGGGCGTTATATGACCTCACCACGTCACATCAGGACGTTACATGACCTCACAACGTCACATGGGGGCATAACATGATCTCTCCACGTCACATGGGGGCATAACATGATCTCTCCACGTCACATCAAGGCATAACATGACCTGACCACGTCACATCAGGACGTTACATAACCTCTCCACGTCACATCAATAC